TTGAAAAATACTGTGATATCAATTTTTGGTCATACCGCCCAGCTCTACACCCATCTTTACTTATCCAGTGCAGGATTGCTGGGGGCCTTTAGCCTATCTCTGGCAGCATTGGGTGCAAAGCAGTAGATACCCTGGAAGGGATGCCAGTCCATCACAAGGCCTGTCTCGGTCTTTTAAGTAAGTTGAGTAACATTTAAGCTTCTTGCAAATGCTTTGTTCTCCAGATTCTACATTGTGATCTGGTCTGGTTTGATGTTTCTGGAACAGCTTCTTGTCCCTGGTCTGACTCAATCCACAAGAATTGAGTTTCATACTTTTTGGATTTAACCCTGTGAAACATGGACTGGTTATATTCATAATATGCCCATTTCCCTGTATTGCTTCTTCGTTGATCTACAGGGCTCCAGCCTTGCAGAAAGTCCTGAAAGTGGGCCCTTATGGGAGCCTGCTGATCATCCTCTGTGGGCTCTAAATCAGGCCGGATGTCAGGGGCGACCCCCCTGAGATGTTGCTAGTGCTTGGTTTGGCACACAGGCCGTGCTCTCAAGTCCCCAGCAAGTGCTGCAGCTCTTGGAACAAAGAGTATTACAGCCTGGGTCTGAGCTGTCTCTCAGTCCCCTTTATTATTATCACCTTCTCGGCTACTGGAGAAGCTGTCATGAGAATCACATGGTGCCATGTTGTTGTGTGGGTTTCTGTCTCACGATGGTTTGTATGCCCGCTATAAGCAGTTGTGTTTTCTGCTGACTCTTGTTGAGCCATGTGTATGAGGCGTTTCGTGCTTTTGTAGACTGACTGTATCCCCCAAACCTGTAATAACAGGGGAGTCACGTGCTGCTGTTGGCCATGTAAATGGGCCATCTTCATCCAAGACGGTGTTTGGGGCTTTGAGCATGAGGAGAGTAATGAGCCGTCCGCCACGCGTCAGGCCCCAGTGTAATTATCCCGCCACGCAGGGAGGCTAAAAAAAAACGAGTTCCTCTCCAAGGTCGGTGTGCATGCTTTGCCTCAGAAAGGCAGATTAAAAGGTAGCCGCAATTGGCCGGACTGGGGAATTACCAAGCAGGCTATAAGGATTTGGCAGGAAGCCCTGTTAAGTCTCTTAACTAGTGGAGTACCCACCAGACTGATTTGTGAACAGGCTGTCCCTGAATGCTGAGAAGGCCATGCAGTTGTGCTAAAAGCCAGCATTTTAGTCCCTTTGTTGTTTTGCCATTTGCAATTTGCAGTGCTGTTGGATGTTTTTTTTCCCCCTATAATAGCAGCGTACAAGGTTCAGTCACTGTTTGGTGATTGAGTGTGACTTTGCACAAAGGTCCTTGCAATGTGTAATCATGCAGTGTACATTTGGGGTAGGAAGTGTGTCACAGGGAAAGCTTAGAGGGAGGAAGATTCCCTGTGTCTCACTGCTCCTTATTTTAAAAGGAAAGAAGAAAGACAAAAGGGGAAAAACTAAAAACCCTTTGCACAGACAGCAGCGTTTTCTCGGAATGAGAGATCTGGCTGGGGGCCGGTTAGGCAATTAGCCTCAGCAGGTTCGCAATACCGGCACAGAGTCTTGATCAGCTTGGGGGCTCAGAGATTTCCCAGGGGCCTTCGCCATTTCAGGGGGTAGCCCCTCTCATTTCAGATGCTCATTCACACTCCCAGCTAGACACCATACTGTATCTTGTGTAGAGAAGCACTGGTTATGCTGCATGGCATGACATGGCTTGGTCCTGCTCCTTTTTACAGTATCCAGTACCACTGTGCCAAAGTACAGTGCAGTTTTCACTCATGACCGCCAATAGGGCTGAACGATTTGAGGAAAATATCTAATCGCGAATTTTCTGACATATTGCGATTACCATATGATTTGGGAAATCATTTTTTATTTTTTTTATAAATCAAGCTTCAGTTCAATATTCAGTGTGTAATAAATTTAAATCATATGATCATTTCTACGAGATATCATAAGAATGTTAACTAGTCTATATTCTAATGCAAGGATGAGAACAAAGAATGAATTGCTTCCAATATGTATTTGTTACTTTTTAAAAATTATCAAACAACAATCAAACATAAATCTACCACAAAAGCTGTGACTGTGTTAAGTTAAATGAAGTAATAATGAAAACAATTCCAGTAAAAAGAAAAACAATACCGATCTTGCAGCTAACGCTGCTTGGACCCCTAACACTAGAGTCGCCTTTTCCCACGCCAAGCGAGACGTACTTCGGCGTATGCAACGCTTTTGTTTGCGCTAATGTGCCATTAGTGTGAATAACAGCAGTGCATCTAAAACCTTCGACGAAAAAGCCGTAATGTTCATAACGGAGTGGCTATGGTCCTAAAGCGGAAAACTTTTAAACGCAGTGTGCATTTTATAAAATGTCGAATAAATAGACGTAGTTTATTGGCGATTTCATGTTGATCGAAGTTTCCACTTATTAACAACTGCATAAAGTAATATTTTTGTACAACTCTGTCTAAGTGAAACGATTAAAAAATTTACTTTTTCACGGTTGCAAACTCAAGCATCTGACGTGACCCTCACGCTTTCAGACTCTCACGCAAGAAATCTTACGGCAAATCTATATTACTCCATTATACACCTAAAATTAGCTACATCAAAAGCGTTTAGGCAGTTTGCAAACCATACAGACTATTTTAAAAGGTAATAAAACTCTTAATTACATGTAAATGTGTGTGCAGATTATCTGTAATAGAAAATCTCAATTCAGACAGTGGAGCAAAGTTGATAACTTTGCGTTTTATTTGAAATGAAAAGTTTTCGACTGAAGTGGCTTGTCGTTCCGTTTGCGTTGTTACTCTGACAGATACAAAACATTGTGCCACTTTCTTATATCGTTTCAAAAAAAGACCGCCCATACCCAGCTGTAATAGCAATTAAAGCGATCTGTTCCTTTAGTATTTGTGTTAAAGCGAGGCTTTCAAAATCAATATTTAAATCAATGTGCACAAAAACATATGACATAAACATGACTCCATTATGGGTTTTACGGCTTTTTGGGGGTTACTGCAACTGCTGCTTTGAGGACTGCTGTCTCCTTGTTTTCTTGATCATGATGTGTGACCTGTATGCTAATGCATTAGCCCATTAACAAAAGCAAAAGTTGTGATACGCTTTAGTATGTCGCTGCTGCATGGTGGTTAGGTCCTGGTGGTTCTGTTGATATAGGAGCTTTCTGTAAACAATATCTGACCATGAAATAGGTAGGTAATTAACTTGTAGCTCAGCAGCAGAATCAGCATTTTTTTTTCGCACCGTGAATGCAACATTTTCGTTGGGTTTGAAGTGTGTTGTTTGTACATAGTGGTCTTGGGACATTTCTGATTGGTGAGAATGACATACAAGGAGGACGACGTGAATCTCTAAAACTATTCTCACACAGTTTTAAACCATGGGTCAGTCGTGTTGTATCATCACACCCCGCACTGCACCACGATCTCTCCGATCCTCCAGCACTGCTCGACTGGTCCCACCACCCCTCAAGGCACAAGGAAGACACACCTCTCGGCTCTTCTCTGCTCTGGCACCAAGTTGGTGGAATGAACTCCCCCTAGATGTCCGAACAGCTGAGTCACTGAATGTCTTCAAAAGACGACTTAAAACACATCTTTTCCAGGGCACACACCATTCACTCACACATACACACCTATGGGCAATTTTAGCAACTGCAATCAGCCTCAGCATGTCTTTGGACTGTGGGGGGAAACCGGAGTGCCCGGACGAAATAGTTGTAGATCACCTTTTTAATTTATATTCTTACTAGTGATGAGTGGGGTAGTTTTTAACAGTATTAACAGTATTAAATATGTAATGTCATCACTATCACTGTTATGAATATTCTTTCTGCAGAGCTGGGCCACAACACAATGGGGTTACCTGTAAACCCTAACCATAAACTAGTTCAGGAGACTGAACTGACATTGTCAGATTTTCGTTTATAAAATTTTTCCAGAATTGCTTCTCTGAGTGTGTTTCAGTGGATGAAGAGACATCTGTTGCTTGTCTTGGGTATTATTTTACTAGATTTGCAGCATGTGAGACCTGCGGAGGGATCTGTGGCCTTTGATCTTCTCCTGTGTGTATGCAGGGCTCTGATCCCATTGGCTGTACTTAGGCATGTTTTCCCAACTTAATCAGTCCGATAATAATGCTTACACATATTACCCATCCTGAGAATCTCCTGCTGCTGTCAACTCATCTTATCTACAGTCGATTTCCTGCTCAACAGTAAAAGAGGTGCACATTCTAAATGTACCATGTTAAATTTGTTTGGTTGTTTGGAAGGCTGGACAGAGTGAGCTGCTTGAAATGGTTTAAATTTAGTGTAGCTCATTTTAACTGAAGATATTGTCTGGTAATCTGTATTTTTCAGATGTGGTTTGTCCTATGTAAGAGTAAGGGCATTGTGGACTGTGGACTAAAAAACCCATATTGTTATCACTGAATTCTGTGCTGTGTCACTAAGGCTGTGGAGTCTTTGAGTAGCCTCCGGCTCTTCTGTAAAATTCCACGTCCCAGAGTTCTCATCATCTGCACAGTGTGGCTTCAAAGCATCAAATGCTTCTTGCCTGGGCAAAGGGCTCCCTCTCATTGTCACTGACAGTATTACAAAATACAAACATTTTCAGGACAAGTGGCCATTAATCAGTGATTGTCGGCCTCTCTGTACATGGACACAAGTGTCCGTGGTAAAACCACTTTTGAAATACCATGTCAGTAACTGCCGTAACATTGACCCTGGCCTTAATCATTTCTAAACGTTTTGCCAGGTCATCCCATCCTGTGTGGTGTGGGTTGTATTCCCCATTCTTTTAAAAATATTGTTGTACATTGATTAATGATTGGTTTCTAATGAAATGATCAAAGGATGAAATGGGGAGAAAAAATTCAGCACATATTTCCTGAAACCCTCCTCAGTAAATGTTATTATTGCACCTCTGATATGCTGATATGTGGCCATGACTGTTCTCTATTGGCTCTCCTTCAGCTCCAGAAACCAGGGCAAGACGGGAAAGAAATGGTGGAGGGGGGGGCGGCAAAGAGAGCTGCTCCCCCAGTCATGCTGATCTGACACAGAGCTGGTGAGTGCACGCCAGGCTGCTGTGGCATGTTGCTTGTTCTTACTCTGAAAGCCCACTAGTGTGTGCCTTTCAATGATCCCCCTTTGTCAAGCAAACTGAAATTTGGTTTAAGATGGCAGGCTCTTCCTTCTCCATGCATGTGGGTGTGGAAGTGTGCTTTTCATGTTTTCTGTTTTAGCTTATCATTGACGGCAAGTGGTAGTTGTACTGAAGCAGTCGATTCTTTGTCTTTCTTGTACTGCAAGGCAAAACATTACTCTGTTCTGGGAAGTACATGGATTTCAGAGACAGCTGTTGAAACCACGGCACACTGTTTTGTCTCATCAGTAATATATGAACAAAACTGGAGTATCTGCTGAAAAGCCATACACACACAGGGTAAACATGCAGACTCCATACATACAAAGTAGCGGAGTGTAGCAACACTGCGACCCACCGTACTAGGCTTGCATTATGTGTGATGTTAATATTGCCATGGCATTAAATGCACACGGAATTGTCACATTGCAAGGAATTCAGTCATCAATAAGTTGCACTAAAACATTTTTACTCAGTAAGTGGAATCAAGACTTAGCAAGCTTTTCAATTTTAAGGATTGTTGGAACTGCTTCGTGTCTGTTGGTACAACACCAACACCACCATCTTATTTGACAGACTTTGTTGGTAGATAATAAGTCTTATTTGGCTGTATAGTTAATTTTGAACACCTAAATATTGCAAGAACTTAAAATATTACAGTATGAAGTTTTCCCAGTATTATTCACCCTTAAAACACACAATGTTAACAAAATAATAATAATAATAATAATAATAACAACAACAACACTACTACTACTAGTAGTAATAACAACAACAATAATAATAATAATAATAATAATAATATATGGTTATTATGTACCGTGATATGTACCGTTTTAATAGAGATTATTTTTAGAGATCAATGATCTAATATACAGATCGGTATCGGCAACGATTCAGACCTATTACACGGATTGGGTATTGGCCATATGTTACCAATCCGCGTCCAATGCTTACTTATTCAGTTTTCGGTAGTTTGTAAAAAGGTGGCTCCTGTTTTTTAATAAATCCATTTGTACAATTAATCGTACGACAGCGCTTGCCCATTTTAGAAACATTTTTGTGGCATTCAAGCTGAATGCTAACACTGCCTCTCAGTCTTTTTGTCACTCAGTGGGTGTGAGCACAGTAACTTCCGGATGCTATGACATCATGTGCATACCCCTTGCAAAGGGTGGGGTGATATCACATCAATATTATATCGTGCATGTGCAGTAATCAACAGGGCTTCAGATGACAGGCAAAACATTTGGCCGGGTGCCAGCTTTTTGGTACTATACTGATGTTTACACCCATAATTTGTTAATTGTCCACTAAATTGAGAAGGCTGAACCTGAACATCCCTCTTGTAAACTGGATCATGGACTTTCTGACAGAAAGGCCTGTCTGTCCACATTTGCACCTACACCTCCAGCAACATCACACTAAGCACAGGCGTGCCTCATGGCTGCGTTCTCAGCTGTCTGCTCTTTACACTACTCACCCATGATTGGTCAGTGAAGTTCAGCTCTAACCACATCATCAAATTTGCAAATGACACAACAGCCTCATCAACAACAATGATGTGGAGGAAGTGGCAAGACTTGCTCCCTGATGCAAGTGCAATAATTTCTTAAAGTTGAAAAGACAAAACAAATGATAATTGACTTCAGGAAAACAAACACTGTCCTCCCATCTCTCACTGTTGATGGCTCCACTGTAGAGAGGGTCAGGGTTTCTGGGAGTCCACATCATGGACAACCTTTCTTGGTCCCTAAATACAGCCTCCCTTGCCTAGAGATTCTGGCAGAATCTACACTTTCTAAAGAAACTAAATCTCCAATCCTCATCACATTCTATAGGGGAACTATTGAACTGCAAGCCTGCTGTCCAGCTGCATCACTGTCTGGTATGGGAATAGCAAGGTTTCAGACTGCAACACTGCAGCAGATAGTGAGGGCAGCAGAGTACGTCATTGGGGTGCCTCTACCTCCCCTGAGGGACATTTACCACAACCATTGCCTTTGCAGAGCTAGCAACATTGTGGAATACTAGTTCCACCCACTACATGGACTTTTCTCTCTTGCTATTTGGCAAAAGGTATCGAAACATTCATGCTGGTTCCACCAGATTGTGTTACAGCTTCATACCACAAGCCATCAGAATTCTTAAAGCACATTCATGAATCTCTTCCTAACCAAATGTCATTCTGGTACACTGCCTGACCGTTTACCTCACAATAACTCCGTTATTATTATACTCTTACTTGGCACTTGAAGTTTACTTATAACTCAACCAATGGTGCTATAACTTCCTGGTGCAATAATTTGATACCCAGCACGGCGCTATGTGGCTATCTGTCACACTATGCTGGTCATTTCATTTTATATTTATACTTATGAACAAAAATACCCCAGTGGCCCATGATTTGTTACTGCATCTTGTGTTTAGTGTTGTTTTTGTCCGCGTGCATACTGTACCTAGGTTATATGTCGATATATGTTGCATCCCGGTCCATGGAGAAACATTGTCTCATCACACTATGTACGTGTATGCAACTGCTGATGACTATAAAATACTTTGAACCTTGAAGCAGATTAGCAGTACGGTTAAAATATTAATGAGATTCGTTCTGTGACACCCAAAAGTTAGTAATCTGTATAAACTTGTCGCATCTTTATTAAATTTGTTTAACGGAGCACACCACATAATACCGTTTTGGTATACTATGGTTTTATATATTTCAGTGCAATATATATCTTTTAAAAGAGGAGATCTTGTGGATAGACAAGGTAAAGCGACATCGGTGGTGTAGCAGTACTTCTTGTAATTTAAAGTCTGACACATTTATTAAACATAAGGATATGCCAAATTTATACTGATTGCTAAGTTTTGAACATCATAAAATGCCTCATTAATATTTTAGGCGTCCTATTAATCTGCTAACAAATTGTGGGCGTAATTAAACGTCCATAAAGTACTGAAAAACTGGCGTCAAGCCAAATGTTTTGCCCATCATCTGAAGCCCTGGTGATTATTGCACATGCATGATATAATATTGATGTGATATCGCCTAGCCCTACCTTTGTAGTATGAGGAGCGTAAGAACATCAGATAAGAGGGTGATGGTCTGGAAGTATTTTACGCTTTTAACAACAACTAGTAGCACAGTGATTGCAATCCCACTAAACAAAGTGCACGCAATTGTGTGAGACAACGCAAGTAATATGAAATAAGCAATGTATGTTTTGTGCACTCACTACAGTTTGTGATACAGGAGGGGCTGCTATCACAACAAAGTGTAAGTGACACTGTTGCCAATGGGAGAGAAATTGTGGAGCATTTTAAACATTCATCACTTGCATTTACTCTTGGAAGATATTCAAATAAATGGCAAATGCCTCATAAACGCTCAATACAAGATGTACAAACGAGATGGAACAGTGTGTTATATATGTTACCAGTAGTCTAAAGCTTTTTGGCATAGATTTTTTTCCTTTGTTTTTACTAGTTTAAAAAAATCTTAATACATATAAAGTATAAATATTTCTACATTATATATACATTTATTACATTAAAATATAAAAGTAAAAAGAGCTCTGTATTCGTATCGGATCATGAAAAAGTGTGGATCGGCCCATACCTAATTGTTTTGACGTACAGGAATTGTAGAAAGTAAATTAAGCAAAATAATTTGTCATCGTGCTGACAAAGGCTAACTTGGCTACCCCAAGAGGCTAAATGGCACTGATGCTTTTGTTCTTTATTTGGACACTCATCCTATGCTCTGTCTTCCTTCCTCCATATTGCCTAGTAAATGAGAAGGAAAATTTTAATTGATGCTTTTTAATAATCGAGTAATCAATTTTACCTGAGTAATTGGGACAGCTCCACTTTCAACTAGTTTAACTCTAATTTGATATTTGCTGTCTGTAACTCTTCCTGATCTTTTATAAAAATGGGGGTTAACCTGCAAAACCGAAGTCATCGTAGAATAATTAGGTATGTTTGGTAGAATTTGGGCATGCTGACAGTTGAGCAACCAGGAATAACTGTCTGATAATGTTTGTGATTAAATTGCCCTCCATGAAGTGTTATGTATAAAGCTGCTGGGGTAGGTAATGGTTCTCAAGGCAATATGGATCTCTTGGGTAGACCAGTAGGTGGCAGTATTAACACAATATTGTTGATTAATCTGTTTGGCAAGTTTGGCATTGTCCGCATTTAGTTTTACCAAGGTTTCAATTGTGATACTGAACCACTTTGTTTTATTGTTAGGAGCAGTTATGATAATATAATTTCAAGGTAGCTTGCTATTGTATTTTTGAATGACAAAATGTGTCTAAGCCACAGAACAATGACACAGATGGCATCCTGATTAAGATCGTGGAGTCTTAACCCTAAGGGTGGTATTTTAAGGGACCTGCTGTTGTCCCCTTGAATAACGTATTTAACCTGCTCCAGTAAAGCATCTGTCTGTCGAAATGGGTTCACTTCGTAAGGCATTAGCAGGCAAAGTAAACATAGATAATAATAAGATGATTTATGTTTGATATACAGCTTTGCATACTCAAGACCTCCTGGCCTTGTACAAAATATTGTCCCTTAACCGGTTTCTTTGTTGTTTAATTATTGGAAGGGGTTTGGCCAGGTGCTGCTGCAGCGATGACGAGGGTGACGGTGAAGCTGCAGAGCTAGGAGGCAGATGGTGTGGGAACAATGGAGCTCCCCAATGGCCAGTCAGGCGTCGGCGCTTATGCTGCCACGGCCTCAGAGGTGAGACAGAGTGCTACAATGCCAGCCGGGGGTGGGGGGGCAAAGGTCAGGGTCAGAGAGCACCGCTGTTTCACAACCCCCTGCTTCCCATTTGCCACCAGAGAAGCAGCAGCTCGGAGTCTCTCAGTGACAAGGGGTCATCTGAGCTAAAGAAGAGCTTTGACGCTGTGGTGTTCGACGTCCTCAAGGTCACACCAGAAGAATATGCGGTAAGGAAACAGGGCAGGAAACCAAAGAGCTTCTGCAGGGGTCTGCATGAGCAGTAAGGTTTTCCATATGCTTTGCTACACATGGAGTGCATAATCACAGGAAACAGGAAGGCGTGTGGTGCCTGAACCCGGCAGGCTGACGGAGGACAGTCCTACCTGTCGGTGACGGACTTAAGCAGTCCTTCAAATCACCATGTCAGTGAAGTGAGGACTGGTTATTTCTCACAGGAAGACACAGGAAATCTCAGTGCCATGAAGTCCATTGTAGAGATTTCATTCTTCTCTTGTGTGTCTCCTTCAGGGACAGATCACGCTCATGGATGCTCCAGTGTTCAAAGCCATCCAGCCGGAGGTGAGTGCAAAGAGTGTTCCTGCTTCCCCATGATCTCAGCACTTTGGGAATCCATGCCTGGGAGACTTTCTTCAATCTTTCATATGTCTCCTTGTCTTTTGTTTCTGTAGTTTGTATTTAAACACATGAAATCACTTAGTGACTCAAATACATTTGCATCTTCTAATATTACATGCTCAGTGAAAGTGGCTGACTGGTGGTGCAAAACCCCCCCAAAGTTATAACCCGGTTCTCATTTTTGTTTAATTTATTTTTCCATAATTGAGACCTGCAGAGTATGATAGATGAGGATGGTGGTGGTGCATGTCCTCTCCCAGCTGGCCTCTTCCTGCAAACTATGCTTTGAGAGAAGTGAACAGGAATTTGTCTGTAGACAGTGGTAAACATTTGTCAAGGTTTTATCCCCCCTTCTGCAGGGACAGGATACGTGGGTTGGCTTGGCTTTGGCAGTGTTTCAAATGTGCTGTGTGATGATTAAAGCAGAAGCTATTGTTTTGGGGTAGGTGGTGAGTAAGTCTCTCTTTACAGGGCAGACAGAGTTCAGCGCCCTGTGTGGCTGAACCTCACACTGCATGCTAGCCAGTGTGCCCGCATGTGATGGCTCTCATCTGGCCAGTTTGTACCAGCTGCAAGACAAATTTACTGCTTGGTCATGCTGCTTTAAAATATGTACAGACGCTCCTCTACATATAAACTTTCAGCTTACAAACTTTCAGACATATGAACGAAGAGGACTGTAAGTCCAAATTGTGTTCGCTGGGCTCCCGTTTTCCTGTCTGCAACATTATTTTTTTTTCTGCGTGCCAATTCTGCCTAGTACTAGAACTTCTGACCATAATTCAAATATGGTGTAATACAGTACAGAACTGTACATAAAATATAGCTTATTGTAGTTTCGCTGCTGCATCGCTGCTCTTGGGCTTGTTTTTGGCAATTTGTCATAAGCTTTGATGAGTCTATATTTCTCATTGAGAGAAAATGGGCTTTCTTTTTCCCATCATGTTTTCTGTGCAGCGCAGCGTTAGCCTGGGGTAGCTAGCCAGAAGCAGACAGGTTACTGCATGGCAAAGTAGGGCTATCAAAGTGAAATGTTTTTGTGTTTGTTTTTTTTAAAGTAAAGAAGTACGGTAGTTTTAATTTTTTCCATATGTTGTCATGTATAAAAAGGTGGCATCATGTATAAAATGAACACTGTAAGAGGACTACTTTGTTTTTATAAGCAAATTATTTAAATAGTATTTGTACAGGAATGATTCTGTCCCAAACTTTTTGATCCATATAAGTGGTTGATCACTATAAGCAGTTTCTACTGTATTCGTTTCACAGTTTTAGAATTATGCTTTTTATATTTGAGTGATAAGGTTTTTATTGTTTAAAAAAAGAGAGAATGTATCGGATTTTTATCGGTATTGGCAGATATCCAAATTTACAATATCGGTATTGGGCAGTGGTTGGCTTAATGGTTTGGGACGCGCACTTGTAATTGAAAGAATCCCCAACCAGCAAGGCACCACTGAGGTACCCTAAGCAAGGTACGGCTCCCCGGGCGCTGAATTAGCTGCCCCCTGCTATGTCACATTGTCACATATGGGTTAAATGCAGAGAACACATTTCGTTGTTGTGCACTGTGTGCTGTGGTGTGTCAACAATGACAATCACGAAATTCAAAAAAGTGATATCTTGCCATCTCTAGTAAATATGGCCAACAGGCAAGTAGTTTACCAACTAATGTTGTTCCCAGTGGTGGGTGATATGGTGATATAGACCTGTCTGTGGATGAACTACCCCAAAGATATTTCGAACAACCATTTTCATTTGACACTTGCGGAGCCATTTTATTTTTGAAATGGTTCTTTAAAATATTTTGCTTGCAGTAAGCTAAGTTCATTAAAGAACATTAAAAATGTTTATTCTGCTATTTATTGAACTAAGAAAATCGGCCGGGTTCCTTATCGGCAGGTAAGGCACAAAAAAAACAACAATCAGGATCAGCCAAGGAAAATACAATCGGTGCATCCCTACCTGTAACCATTATTAAAATTTTCTGCCATTTGTGCCTCAGTAGCCCTTTTTTCATTCAAACCAGATGGGGTAGCCTTCGTTCCCATCTAGCATTTAAATAGTCCTGGCTGCCCAACACCCTGTCGGCAGATTGTGGTTTTTACCTCCTCTGACCACTCTCAGTAGGTACTCCCCACAGCAGACTGTGACCACCAAACAAACCTTACCAGTCTTTTGGCCATAATGATTTGACTCTTGCCACAGTCACTCAGGTCTTTCCCTGCTGCCGTTTTCTTCTGCTTTCAACATGTTGACTCCGAGTACTGAATGTTAACTTACTGCGTAATATATCCCAGAAATTGCCACGTGCCATCTTTACAAAGCAGTCAATGTTACGTGGGGGTGGTCATAATGTTTTGCCTTATCAATGTGTGTGTGTGTGTGTGTGTGTGTGTGTGTTTGTTATGCACACATTACATTGTGGGAACCAAATGTCTCCATAATGTAAGACATTAACTCACATTATAACATTGCCAAAATAACATAACTGTTATTTTGGCCATGTGAGGTACCCATAAGGGGGAACTCAATTTTATAAAAACAAAAAAATGTGACTGCAATCAAAAAACTAAAAATGCCAAAAGTCTTGTGTTTTTTTTGGTTAATTATGGTTAAGGTTAGGGCTGGTTAGGGGTTAAGGTTGTCAGTGTCGGGTATAGGGTTTTTCCCATGGAAATTGACAGTCCCCACAAAGATATGAATACAAACGTGTGTGTGAGAATATGTTTATATGTATGTTTGTGGTATATAGGAGGTAAGGACCATGCGCTGACAACGCGTTGCTGCCCCCACCACACAACGAACCAGCTCAGGAATGAGAGCCTGAGTGTAGCCGTGTGGCAGGTGATACCTCAGCACCACACTAGCCCAAATGGACCAGTGTGTTTTTTCCAGTGGCTGGATTTGCCAATACTGCTATCAACCCCCAAATTTCTCAGTAGGTTGGAGGACCTCCTTGCAGGATTGGATGTAGATTAATGTTATACTCAGGATGAAGCAATTGCAGGTTAAGGGCCATGTTTAAGGGCCCAATGGAGTAGAATCACTCCTCGCATTCACAGGATTCGAACTAGCAACCTTCCAATTGCTGGCAAAGATCCCTGGCCTCAGAGCCACCACTCTGCCTATATAGAATTTTAAATGTTTAATATCGAATAATGAGTATTATGGAACCAGCAGTCTTCCTGGTATGTGTTTGCGAAGATTTTCCTTTCCGTCAGACCTGGCACTGACATGTATTGGATGGTAAAGTGTTTAAAGACGTCATCGTTGATGCCACCATTTTGGCTTCACTGTGAGTGGTTGTCAGATTTTAGCAGGCTGGACCAGCTCCAGCAGTGGTTGCCATTTTAAACTGAGTTCAGTTGTGGCGCTCACAGGGACATTTTGTATTTTATTCCCTATTTTTTGCTTGTTAAATCATTGCGTTCATTGACTGGAATTCTCTGCGGGTCAAAATGTAGATGTGTTCCTGATTTTAATTTTTCCTGTGGTCTTGTTTTATATATTTTCTTGTAATCCATGTTTTATGTAAGGGCAGCTTTATTAACTACTGATTTAAGTTGTTTTCCATATGCACAACTATAGTGTATGCATTAAAGTAGACACTGAAGGAGTGCAGTTCTAGGGTCAAGCACCTTGGTGGCTTGTCACTCTGCCCAGTCACCAAGCCACCTGTTTTTAACCTCACCTCCCCTTCTATGCACTTTCCCAGTTGAATGCTGCCAGTCTGTGTTTTAGAGAGGTTCAAGAGACTCTAGCCCCACCCCACCCCACCCCGATAGGTGCTGACTAAGCCAGATTCAGAAGAATGTGTCTGTGGGATCAGATCACCATATCCATAGTTATTCATTTTCTGTGGTTAACAAGTGCACTCTATGCTCCCTCCAGACCACAGCAGGATAGGGCCTGAATACCTGCATTTTTATGTCTCTGTGTGAGCTCGACCTTCCTGAAATAGGTAACCATATTCATGTTTCTATCTTGGCAACAGGTAGCCCAGTGGTGACAGAACTAGATCCATGACCACAGAGGTCTAAGAAGGGCCTGTCTGTTTTAATCTCAAGCTATGAATTTGACATGCTTTGCTCTGTTGCATGTTCAGCTGGAAAAACAAATAAAATGTCTTGCACAGATACGTAACCTGAATTATGATAATCACAGTACTTTTAGTGTACACACTATTTCCAACATGCTAGAGTAACTAAACTCCCTTCTCTTAACTCAGTTCTGGTTGCACAGATCCTGGGTGATTTTTCCCTAAAACCTCTGTGGTGTGAGGAGCCTATTGGAAGGAGTAAGGAGGTACTTATTGTGGCAGAAAGAGACCTTGGGTGGCAGGGCGACCATTTGACAGAACAGTATGAAATGTTTGTACCTCAAAATGGTGATCAACCACTCTGCCTGGAAGAACTTGCACTATTCATTCTCTTCTTAGGTTTTATTTTGGAAAAGGTAATCCGTGGGTGAGTGGGACATGATAATTAAAAAAGTTATATGAATACTGCCTGGCTTTCCTCTCATCTTCTGTTACCACTGTAGGCATGTTGTTCTCTTCTGCAATTCCTTTTCAGCAGCATCAGGTGCATAGCTGAAATGTCAGGCCAAAGTGATCGTTTCCGGAATCCCCTTCATTTCCTCATATGACACTAGTGTAGGAGTTGGCCACTTATTATTACTGGCTAAGTTGATCATATGATTCATTGCTCCCTTCCCATTCACTGTGTAGGAGGTCATTTGTCAACGGGGATGTGACAGTAGGTTTAGGCAGCTTGACTTTCCATGTGTGCTGTATTTAGTGACTGAAAAATGTTGCTTTGTGTTTTAAAAAGAGTTTACAAAGAAAAATAGCCTGGTGCATAAAATAAAGTAAGGAAATTAATGGACATGTCATAAAAGTTTGTAAACTCAGCAGGCCATTTGTTGTGTCACAAGATCCTTCTTTGCCCTCTCCAGTTTTCTTTAAAAGCCAGTATGTCCATTATACATTTGGTACCAATGTGTCCCCACAAACCTGACTGGGTAAGCGGTTGCCCAAGATGGATAAATGGATGGATGGAATGACCCCAAACCACCTGCCACACCATCTGCATGCTCTTGAAGGCCAACAGGGTCTAGTGTTTTTCAGTCGCATAAGCATAATGTGATAAATTTGATCTGTGTGATGGAGACAGGATTGTGGGGGGTGGCACAGCTGTATATTTGATCACCTTTGCTTGAGGGTGTATAGGACTGCCGTTGTGTTAAATACAAGCCATAGAAAAGTGTCTTGTTTTTATGGGGAGGGGGGCTTTTCTTTACTTTCCAGATGGCCCTTTTTTGTTTTTCGCAGTGTTTATCTGTGCATTGTTCCAACCCCATCGTTCCAGAAAAGGAAAACCCCATCCCAGAAACTTCTTTTCTGCTCTGGCCACCCTTCACATGGTTCTCCTTGCCACTGCAACTCTGTGCTTTTTGGTTTTTACACACTTGGTGAATATTAGATCTTCCAGTGCATTTTAAACAAGTAGACGGTCTTTTTATGGAGACTTCTACTATGCGCTGTCCTTTCTCTCCTTTCCAGAGGGAGGAGACATGAGGCCGAAATACAATGGAAGGAAGCAGCCAGAGAAGGTGGTTTTCTTTGAGTGACGTCCCTCCCATTCCCTGCAGGGGGAATAAATAATGAGATGTTTTGGAAAGGATATGAGGGTCCATGCAGTCAGACACCAACCCCTTCGGCAGATGAGATCTCACATCACAAATAGCCCTGGGGTTTCATGATTGGTCAATAAGGATCTTTGTCTTTACTCCGATTTCTCTTATACCTGTAAGAGTAATGTAACAATTTCTTAATTGGGTAAACTGAGTGGAGTTGAATGTCACAGTCTGTCAATCACTATGCAATGGTGCTATTTTACCTCCTCCCCTGACATTTGAATGATGAGGATGTCCCTTATGTCACCATCAAAGTTGCTCTGAGGGATTATATTTTCTATCCTCACCCAATGACTCTGTCCAGAAGAGCTCCCATAAATGTAGCAGGATTATTGTATCCATGTGCTGTTGTGATCGTTGCCAGAATTTGTTCTCAGTGATGACATTTTCCCTAGTTTTAGCTGACTATTGCAATAACTAATGAACTAATACATCACTGCTGAGAAACGTCGGCTTAGTGTTTGGAATCTATTGCAGAGGGTGATGTAGTTTGACAACAACGCCTTGAATTTACAAGTGCGGCCAGTCTCGTTTTTGGAAAAACAATGTAGAAATACACACATATGTCAAACTGTTTAAATGTAATACTTGCACATAAATGTTTTGGTCATAGAAACAGAATTTTGGCAAAGAACACCCCTCTGTGTGTGAATGTGTAGGCCTTTGTAAATGATCTACTCAGCTCCACAATGGTCATCCAGTACTTTTTGCCACCACATATTTCCATCTCTGAGGAAGGTACCTGAGATTCTGCTCAACATAGTCCTCCAGATGTCAGACACCCAGTTTTGCAAGGGACTTCACTCAAAGAAAACCACCTTCTCTCTCTGCTTCCTTCCGTTGAATGTGGGCCTCGTGTCTCAGTAGGATATCATCAGAGCGGGGTGTCCTCTTAGTGTAGATACCAGGCTCCACCAGCCCACCAGCGGTAGACCAGATCTCCCACCCAGCTTAAATCCATGAGGGCACTGTGGCCCTGCCCTGCAGACATAATGTTAGCCTCTCACATAGTCCAGCTCAACGATGTCTGCTTGCTAGCAACATAGGGGGCTTTATTCACAGCTTCCCCTCTGCAGTGATCCAGTCGTCAGGTATACCGCAAACCGGGCGCCCAACAGGGCTGTCTCTGAGAGGCAAGCCTAGGTCGTGGCCGTTGGAGAGAGAGAGAAGCCGCGGCAGGGGATATGTCTGACAGGCGGACGCCTTGCACGGTGTGTTTAAGGAGCAGCTGTTAAAGAAATAAGCGGGCTCTGCGAGGAGCTGGTGACGCGGAGTTTCCTGGAAATTAATGCTTTCCCCAAGACAGCCTTGCCACTACTGTGCCCTTGCTGACTATGTGAATGTCCAAGTATTCCTGTGATTTTTCTCCTGAATTAATCTGTTTAAAAATGCTCGTGAAATGCACACTGCATCTGCTCATTTTAAGATTAAAATTAAAAGATTGGTCCCATGACTTAATTGATTATTCCCATGGGGAAATTCCTGAAATTCTTTTATACACACCTTATCAGATGTACTATTTTAAAAACTCTCCATAACTAACTTGTTGCACTATTAGGCTGTATGTAGGAGACCAGCATACTTAATTTTTTTTGGTCTTTGGCCAAGATGGTCTGATTGAAGTCATTATGTGAAGTCCTTTAGCTTTCAGCATTTGGTTTATTTAATCAATGAATAAATGACTTTTATTGTCCAGTCCCTGGTCTGCGAGAGGATTTATTGTGTGTGTGGGAACATCTCTGCATCCCCTGTTGAACAATTCTGTCGTTAAGTCTCTTGCTTAGCTTCTGAGTAACTACTGTGAGCATTTGAGATCTATCAAAAAGGTAACTTGTTTGACTTGGATTAGCATTGGTTGCTCTGCTGGAGCCTGGGGTCTGGGGATGGCTGCTTCTTCCAAGCAAACCAGTCTCCAGAGACCTGTGGAAAGGGGGTGGAGGTGATGAATGCTGCTTAGACAGGATTTTCCTACTGGTTCCCCCAGCTCTGTGTTTTCACAGTCCAGTTCTCGTGGCATCTACTGGCTGACAGCTCAGTCCAGCCCCTCGGACCAACAGTGGTCCCCAGTTGCCTGCCAGTATTGCCAGTTTGGTCTCCCAGTACTCTTGTGGAACTATATCCATTTCCCTGTTTTCATCAATTGAATGAAGGCCCATTTGCTTTGTTGGCTAATTTTCCAATGCATCCATATTATTAGTTCTTCATTGGTGCAACATTGTCTTCCTTGCTCCTATTTTCCTGCCTGTAGTGATCCAGGTATTAGAACCAGTGAGCGGACATTTCTGAACTGATCTGGTGCTTCTTCTGTAGTATTTCGTTTTGCTGAAAAGGTCCTTGGTTCTTCTCTTTTGTTCCCCTGTATAATTTAGTAAATAATTTTTTTTTTATGCTGCATTTTGCTTGGTCTAATTCGTGCTTCCTCTCCAGAGTTGTAGAACCAAATATATGACTCCAACTCTGTATGCGTGTGTGTGTGCGTCCGTGTGTGTGCATACCGGTTTTGGACCTTCTTTCACCTGTGTTGATTTGTAAAAAAATGACATTAATTTATACTTTTGTTCAAAACACGTAAACTTTGACAAATATAAAATCACCAATAAACTATGTCAATTTATCCAAAATTTTATAAAATACTGCATTTAAAAACTTTTCAGCTGTAGGATTTCAGGACAGAGCAGCCACTCTGTTATGAAACATTACAACTTTTTGGTTGTGGGTGTTTGATTCACTGCTGTTATTAACACCAATGGTGCATTAGTGCAAACAAATGGGCTGCATACAGTGAAGTACGTCCTTGTTGGTGGTTATAGGAGTTTAACATTCATTGGTGTGGGAAACGGTGGTTCTAGTGTTAATTGGGCAGTTGTACCTTTTACCACACTCCTTGCATGAAGGCAGCAGCGCATATATATGCTGATATAGCGAATGTTTTACTTTTTAATTTGCTACTGTACATTTATGTAAACAGGTTATTATTGTTTAATGTGTATAATTACACAAAATCTGTCTGAAATCTGTTTTTGAATTTGTTAATCGACTATCAGGATATGGTGTCAGAGTATATTTAACAGAATATTCACAGATAAACGCAGATAAACCGGTGACTTATACCGTATAAGAACAAATATTCAGATTATAACTGAAGCTTGGAAGAAAATAAAAAGCTTTATTTGTATTAATAGGCTGTTGTATAACTATACTGATGACTTCTCGCAGTGTTAATGGTATAGTGCACATCCATATCTTAGAGCACAATCACACCAATAATAACTATGATGCCGGTGTACCACCCACTTATGACAAAAATTCATTTTTATAAAAATCTGTTAATGTAATCAAAAAACTAAAAATGGCAGATTACAGATGTCAAATGCCAAATGTCAGATGAGAGATGGTTCAGGTAAAATGGTGACCGTTTGTGGGTGTGTACCACAGTGCTCTATGAAGGGTTAGTATCTCATATAGGCATGGTATGCTTAGAAGAACTTGATGGAACAAGTACTTATGAATTCTTCATGTTTGGGATACTATGGGAGAAACAGGTTATTGCTACTGTTTAAAGTGTCTTTATTCTGTTATCCAGGAGCTATCAAGCTGCGGGTGGAGCAAGAAGGAGAAGCACAGTTCAGCCCCCAATGCCGTGGCCTTCACTCGTAGGTTCAACCAGGTGGGTCTCGCAGAAGCCTAGTGGGTCGTATGGGCTCGGTGACTTGGCTGAAAACACTGAAACAATCAGCTTGATGTGAATTTTAAATACCTCATTAAATGGTGAACTTTACATTTAGAGTCCGGAATGTCAGGAGCCTGCTGTTGGGATCTGTGCTGGATTTAGGCAGGACTTGAGAAGACAGGACTCTCATAGATGTTCTTTAGTGTAGAAACACATGTCTTGTTATCCAGTTTTTGCCCTAATTTTGTAGCATTGTCATCAAGAGGTTTACCTGAAACAAAAGTGTTTTGCTAAAGGGTAATGACTTAAGTGCATGCCAGTATTATTTTGTCTGACTTCTGGAAACATGTGCAATACTGATTCTTATTGCTCAAGCGCAACAATGGAAAGGCTTGATATTACCTGGCTATAGGCTGGGTCTCGTGTGGTCACCATACCTCCTCGCCCAGCGCGTCGGCCGTCCTTCACGCTCGGGACCAGCTTCGATGCCATCCAGTATAAATATTAGGAAATCTACAAAGAATGTGTTTTGAATATCCTGTGGAAAATATGTACTTTTATAACAGTGTTTCATTACATTATTTTTTTTCTCTAACTGCTTTTCAAGATGTCATTTGTTGGATAAGCCTAACTAGTGTGTATGGCTTTAAGGCACGGCTGGGCTCTGGCCATTTGTCCGTTACCAAGGCTGGGCTGTGTGGTGATACTTCACACAGGTCTACACCCACTTCCTGGGCATCTAGACCAGCCAGATGCTCTCCCTGGTTGGGAAATAAGTGGTTTTGTACAGTGTCTCAATGGATGGCACCACTTTCAAAATAAACTGGGGTTTTCCTGATGCTGGGTTTTCCTGATGCTGGGTTTTCCTGATGCCAGCTCTTCTGTAGCGGACAGTGATTATACTGGATAAAAATACAAAAGCTTATGTAACTAGGGACGTCTGCCTTTAATGGGCCTCTTCATGCGATAGGCTGCATTGTCCTTTAACCTTTCATATAGACACTTATGTTCTACACAAACATTGTGAGGGTTGGCCAAGATTTGCATTTTGAAATGATTATTTAATCAAGCATGCTGTTGTAGTAATGAGCAGGCTGACCCTTCTTTTAATGGGTTTCAATATATGTTGAGATGGAAATCTTGAAAGCTGGGGGTCTTGTTGTCATTGGCCTCATGAGATATTGACCCGCCCCTACTCACCACAGCCATTTTAACCTCTGCCTGATCCTGAGCTGTCGTCCATCTTGACTTTCTCAGTAACTGTGAGCGTGTTGTTTTTATTGTCACTGATATCTGCATGTCGGCTGGGGGACTTTGTGTTCAGCTTTTGGCATCACTCCTACAATACAATAAAACCTAACCTATTATTGTTGTTATTACTGTTAGGTGGTTATCCTAAATGGCCAATCATGCTGGCCAGTAGACTTCCTGGGGCCATTCAGGCTAATGACAGAAGGGTCCCTACAGAAGCGATTTCAGCTGTTCTATTGAAATAATACTCAGGAGTGCCTGGAGTTACCAAGCTTGCACATAAAGCAGATTAATTCTCCTCCTGAGCCCCGAAATGAAATACAGCAATTTTGTCCGGAAGTGACTTCAGAAGTGCAGCATTGCGTCTGGTGGGAAATGGGAAGCACAGTTAATCACTTGAAATGGCTGATCTGAAGTACAGTGAATCCTGCCAGGCGTGTGGGGATGCCGGCCCCCTGTGTGGAAGTCAGACATAGCTCTACACCGCTACCCTGCAGCTGCTTTGCTATTCTCATCACAAAACAGGTCTATATTACGGACGCTCTTCTACTTACGAACTTTCAACTTACGAGCTTTCAGACATACGAACGAAGAGGACTGTAAGTCCAAATTGTGTTCCTTGGGCTCCCGTTTCCTGTCCGCAGCACCAATTCCGCCTAGTACAACTTCTGGCTGCTACTCCCGCCACGCAGCAGCATAGTGTGCGTACTTCCAGTATCCTAGTTCTTTGTACTTGCGTATACCCTTAAAATGATGTTGAATAACGACTTACGAACATTTCAATAACGTATCTCATTCGTAGAGGAGCGTTTGTACTATTTAAAAAAATTAACACCACACTTCTCATTTTATTTGCATTCATTAAACATTTTATACATTTTGATACCAAGAACAGCGGGACAATTTACAATTGTAAATTAATCGCAGCCACTGGATTTGTTCAGATTATGCATGAATGTCCATCAAGAACCAATTCATGTGCTGTATCCTTTTCTGGTAGTTTGGATGTAGCTGAACTTCCAAATGCAGATTGATATATTGGTTCTTGCAGCACATGGGAGCTCATAGTTGTCTGCGTGTGTGTTGACAGGTCAGCTTCTGGGTAGTCCGAGAAATCCTGCATGCCCAGACTCTGAAGATCCGAGCCGAAGTCTTGAGCCTGTACATTAAGACTGCAAAGGTGAGCATTTTTCCTCATAGATGTTGCTATTCTCTGTAGTGAAAAACACAGTGCAGCTTTGATTTACAGATCAGATGCCCTGGATGCTGAACTTGTATTTGCAGAAACTGTGTGACATTAACAACCTGCATGCGGTGATGGCTGTAGTGTCAGCGCTGCAGAGTGCCCCCATCTACAGACTGACCAAGACGTGGGCAGTGAGTATCCCCTGCTGCAGGGAGCTGAACTCAGACGTACCCCACTGCAGGCACAGGCAGTGGAACTTTTGTTACCTCCCTGGAATGTAGTCAAGGTGTTTTTTATAAACTGCAGGTGGCATAGTGGTTTATGACATGTCCTCATAAAATGCTCACTGTTTTTAAAAGCCCTCTGGTGCTCCTGGAAAATATAACCATATAAGTGGATGAAACCTGTAAGAATTACATGGGAACATACTTCACATGTTTTTCAAATGGCAGCCAGTTCTAAGTGCTGCTGATCTTTGCTGTTATAATGGGCATATCAATCAGATCACATTGATTGAGGTCTCTCTGTTTCCCCCCCAGCTGCTAAGCCGGAAAGACAGGGCCACCTTTGACAGGCTGGCATACCTGATGTCCAAGGAGGACAACTACAAGCGCCTGAGGGAGTACATCAGCAGCCAGAGTATGACGTCCTGTATCCCCTACCTGGGTAAGAGCCCATGAGGTCTCCATCTTCTGGCCAACAGTGACACATGTAAGGATGCTGAGATCTGCCCTACGGAGTGATCTGCTGAAGTGAGAGAGGTGCTCAGTAAGGAGGCACACTGTAGTTAGGGCCGCAACGATTCATCGAGTAACTCGAATAATTCGATTACAAAAAAATCCTTGATGCAAATCCTTTGCTTTAATGCTTCGTTTAATCCACACGTACTGCTCGGTGATCATCGTATTTCACATGGAGGATTATTACTGTCGCACAATGTGCTTATGCTGCATTATGTGTAACAGAGCGATAGAGAAAACGGAGTGGCAACACTCCCATAGGGACCCAATGTAAAAAATGGCAGAGAAATTTCTAGCAAACTTCCAGGTCATGGGGACGGTGAATAGTTCCAAACTCTGACATTCATGCTGTAGAATCACGTTCATTTCCATTGCTTACCAAGCACTTTATGCGGTATGTTGATATAATAACAAATTCTTAAAAAACAATTAAAATCAATTAGCTGTCATTGAAGTTCATAATATTATTATGTTTTATACGCGCTTAGCATTAGCTGTTAAAACTTATTATAATTAATAGTTATGATGGAAGGTAGCTTAGCAGCTAACGAGTGTAACCTTTTCATTATACTGAGTCTGTCAATTTATGTTGATGCAGTGTAATGTTACATATTAAGTTGTTCTGCTTATCAACAGCTTCATGATTACGGTTAGCTGCACTGCTACCATGTTAATACACCTGATTAAAATCTCCTCAGGTCGCATGGTTCAGTGTAAATTTACTACCAAATTTATGGCAAAATAGTTTTAATGATTTTGTGGTAATTTATTTGCCAAAAAATGAAAACCCATCGCAATAGTGTCTGTATTTTTATGTGCGCTTTTTAAGTGCAGGATTTGCAAACAGCACTTGAACAAAAAGAATGCTTTTTTCACATTGTTTCGTCTCCCTCATGCTGTATTACTTAGAATATAATTTAAATAAAATAAAAGCTTCTGTCTGTCCATATTGACCTATATATTTTTACCCTTATTACCCCTGCTCCCACCCTTTCTTTCCCTAAAGTGAGAGGTGTGAATGGGACATTACATAGTTTGCAGTGTTTGCCCAATTTAGCTTGTTTTGTCGATAAAGAATGACAATGGATTTTGATTAATGGACACTTTTGAGAGGTTGGTGTTTTCTATACAAGTAAATAAACTGGAAGGCATATTTTGCCTGGCAGCCTTTTATGAAACATTATACAATATTATTGTTTATACATTATTTAGTTTAACATTTCTATGTTAACTTTTCAAATGATTTTCTCCTTAAAAATTAAGTTTTAGCATGCTGCTTGCAAAAATAGCTTTTAACAGATATTGTATGCAGTTTAACCATTAAAAATGTTTCTAAAAAGGAAAACAATGAGTTGTTCATTTTAAGAGACCTGTCTTTTTTTCTCTTTCGAATAGTTACTATTGCTGTTTAATAAGCCAATAGTACTTCTTATCTGATTACTTGATTAATCGATGCAATAATCAATAGAATGTTAAATTACTAAAATAATCGATAGCTGCAGCCTTACACTGTAGTCTATCAGTTTGTGGGGTTATGGCTGATTTATGTTTGTTTGTAGGGTCTACGCAGAGCTTACGCCATAGCCTATGCAAGTGGCGTTTCGCCGCTGTAAGCATTTATACTCCTGCACTGCTGTGTCTGTATCTCTCTGCAACTACACTGCCAAAATGCAGCCGGAAATGCATCAGAGGAAGTGCAGGAAGTGCAGGAAGTGCAGTGCTACCAAGCGGACCAGTCATAGTTGTTGGTCACCACGATGTAGCGCTGCTATGATTAGTTGTAATCGATGACACGCTGAAAATGCATCGACATCAATATTTTAAATCAATGCATCATTTAAAAATATTTTCATTTCTGTTGTTGTGTGTGTTGCGTTTGCCACGTATTTTGGTCACTTTTTTTCTGAACTGTCCATTCCCTTGTAAGAAAACTGTGTTCCGGTCCATACAAAGGAACCAGCCTGAGGGAAAGCTCTGGGGTCCGATTGAGACAGAGTGTGGTGGGCGGCAGCCACCTTGAGCACAGGGAAAGTCGATCTGCTCGGGCCCAGCTGAGCTTTCTTCTTGTCTCTTTGCACCCCTTTGCCCTTTCGCACCGAGCCTGAAAGCACTTGAAGGTATTCAGAGGTTGCTGGGAAACACTGACTTTTATTGTGCTGTTAGTTTTCTTTGGCATTTTTTTTGCATAAATAAATTCCACTGCTTTTTCTGATGTGGTAACTTTTAAAAAGATTGTCAAAAATAACTTTCTGTTTTATAAGTGCTTTGCCGCAGGACCTGTCAGAAGTCCACAAAATGTGACCCACTTGGGAAGTAAATGACAGATTAATTAAAAAGTCGCTGGCATACATCGTGGACTCCTACCCAGGTGCTGCATGCAAATGACCTGTAGGGTTACAGTCTGCTCTCTGGAACCTGTGTAAAGGACCTCGCCATTAGAGGAGCAGAGTGTAGCCGTCCTAGCCTCAGCCCGAGCTGCCTTCAGCCTCTGGAAGCTGAGGGGTTTGTGGCAGCCCTGAATTACTGCTTCCCGTCCTAGCCTCCTGTGATGTCAACCTCAGCTTCCCGGTGCACAGTGGAGACGCCCGGTGAGAGCTGATGGGCTGCGAGGTGATTTAAGGTGGCTCTGTGAGTCCAGACGCAGGGGGAAGGTGTTGAAGTTTTAAACAGCCCCAGCCGAGAAATCCAGCCTCTGTCTGGATCTGAAACACATTAATGGCGTCATTTGTTGCTGTCGTGAAGCTGCGGTCTCTTGAACGTCGGGCCGGCCTTGAAAGACGGGGGCCGTCTAAGGTGCCGCTTTCAGACGTGCCCATGCAGAAGTTTCCGTCTGAGCTGTTGGGATGTTTGTTTACCTGGGCATATGAATCAAATTTTATTTAGCATCACAATTTTTTTTTTTTTTGCTAGCCAGTCTGTCTCAAACCATTTACAGTCATTTACGGAAAATGCAGAGGAAAAACTATCCATCCATCTTGCAGCTGCTTATGCTGGTCTGCATTATGGAAGGAAACCCATGTGACATGGGCAGAACAAGTTCCAAACTTTGAATTAAATTGGGATTCTAAATCCCAAACCTGAAGGTGTGATGGAACAGTGCCGTTTTAAAGATTATTTTTTGCCACTTCCAAAATTGCGAACTCAGAAAATAATGATAAACGAAGTAAAAAAAAATAATAATGCGATTTGGTCGTAAGAACATAAAAGATCTGGATGGCATGACAAGAAATGAAAAAGTATTTTGTTGAATAGACTAATACAGCAGGCATATAGTGTAGTGATGTGATTTAATTATATATATAGCAATGTGATTTTGTTGTAAAAAAATATAGGGGTATTTATAAAACAAAAAAGGAGTTCATAAATTTCTCACAAACCCGTCTTTGAGTGATTTAAACGGCAAGGATGAAAATTATTGTGATTGTTTTGGAGAACGTATGTAGCGCTCATGCAAAAGTGGAGGTAAACTTTCAGATTTTTAAACAAATAAGAACCTATAAAAGGAATAATAATTAAAATTTCAAAGCTTGCTAAGTTTTTCTTTTCTTCCTATGACAGACAAAAATAGTAAAAATATTTTAGTGAAACTTTAACCCCTGCACTATAATGTCCGTACTGAAGTAAGAAGTAAGCCTTATTTTAATATAGTTGACTAGTGATGTAAGAATTAGATGTGCATAACGTGATGTTGGTATTAATATCTCACATCGTCCAGCCCTACAGAATACTACAGCCGTTTTTCAAATTCAGTATAAAAAACCACACCTCGCACCGTAATGTCATTCGGCACTGGTACACAAGTGGAAAACCTTGAAGTACCGTACTTTCAGTACTTTCTTGAAGTACCAAAAGGTCGGTACCTGGTGCAGTGGAAAAACATCCTAGGTTTGCTGTTTGCTGGTGCTCTGCAGCCACTCAGAGTAATAAGTTTCCACCAGTAACCCTTCCAGAATCTGACTTGGCATGCACCCATGATTGTAGGTCGTTCACTGTGGCCTAGTGGGGGTCATGAAACCCAATGGTATGTCTTTGGAATTTGGTAGGAAACTTCACGCAGAGCAGAGGTTAGATTTGGCTGAGTGTGGAGTTTCAGTAATATGTATATTCTGGTTTCTGCTTGGTGCTTTTGCTCCTTTACAGACTCTGCCGGCTGTGCTGAATCAGCCTATCATTGGTGATGGTCCAGGTGCCCTCGCTCCCAGGCCAGTGACAGCTCAGGTCGCTGGAGCTTCTTAGTCCCAACGCAGCAGCTCAGTTAGGCTTGCTCTGTATGGAACACCTTAAAAGGAAAGCCAGAGGCTGCTCTTGTCACCTCACCGGGGAGGAGTAAGGTGAATCGTCACTATGCGATAGGGAATGGGCGGACATTTGTCAGGCACAGCTGAGTTTTTCCTGGAAGTTTCCGTAAAAATGATGCAGGATTAAGCATTAATATGAACTCACATATCCTCATTGCTTGTGCTTTCGGTGTCAGCAGCCGTAGCTGCAGTGGCTGGGATCACCAGGGGGCGCACTGCAGAATAAAGAAACACGCCTACAGTGGAATGCTCCTTAAGGAGTGCTTCTGAAGGATGGAAGAGCTGCTGGCCTCTGCCAGCAGGCTGCAGTGCATATAAAAATGAAAGGTGGGGAGTCCTCCAGAGTCCAATGATTTTGCATGTGGTTGGACCTGGAACTGGGTCGCTTATCTCATTTTAAAAGCAATAAATGGAGCCGAAGGTGTCAGGGTGAGGTCACCGTCAGCAGCGAATTCAGCCAGTGTTTCTGATGTCACTGTCAGTGATTTGCAGAGCTCGTAAATTCACCTTTTTTTGAACTTTCCACATATCAAAAACAAATGTCTCTTGACAAGTATATGAGATTTTTTTTAGTTTATCTCGTATAGCAAAAGGCATTTCTGTGTTGAGGTATATAACCATTATCAAAATAGAATTGGAATTATAAATGGAATTAGCTTTTGAGTCACAACTGTTATGGTAAAGTTTCGGTCTTCAGCTATAAATGATTTTTTTGGTCATTTGTGTTGCAAAATTTTTAATTGTATTTATTGCCGAACACTTTGTGCATCAGATTGCGGAAAAGCAGTTTAAAAGAGACCAGCAGCTGTGTATGAATGTACATGTGTATGACACACTAGACTGTTTTCAGAGTATTACCCTTACAGGTGTCGTAACTTTAAATTTAGCCTGTAATTACCAACCACTTGAAATTGTGACTTGTTTAAACAGAAGCATGTATGCAGAGCTTTTCAATACCTAATGTGAAAATGTGAATTTGCCACTAAAAGTATCTGTAGGAAATGGTGGGCATATGAAATGGCCAATTTCCATTCCCTGTCCCAGATCGTAGAATCATCATCTGGTTCTCATTTTCTGTTCCTCTGCCTCTCGCCTCCTCTCTCACGCCCCAACTTTGAGTCCCTGTCCAGAACAGAGTACGCCACGTTCACTTTTCTGCTGCTTGTTTTCGACGGCTTGCTTCATAAACGCCGAAATATAAAATACAGTGCACTCGTGGCCTTGCATCCTAGTTTAACGAGCGATTTATAGCATATGATATTTGCTGATGTATTAAACTCCTGTTCCCTGTAAATCGAAAGCCAGCATCCCAATGGAACAAGGAACTGGACAAATAAAGTACTTAAAAATAGTTTATTTAGTATTGCATGGCAATTTAGTGGGTGACCAAGCTTGACCGGGTTCCCACTTCTCGTTCGCTCGTGTTTTTACTGGAGAAAGAGAAGCAGCGTGTGACTCGACACACAGGGGTGTAGAAACAACAGCCTTTCGCAGTACAGCGGAGTGCATCGAGCGAGGCTACATCCAGGCTAAGAAGGCTCATAAATAGCAGTGACAGTGACAGAAAGCTCAGGCAGGTCACACAACGCCAGTACATCTTGCTGATGTGGCTCTCGGTGGGCAGACGCATCACAGATCATTGCTCTGTATACTTATGAGGAATGCGATGAGCTATGTGTAATACATGAAAAAGGAAAAAAGAACAGTTATAGACTTCAACACAATATATATAATAATATGATTTTTTTACCAAGCTTGTTAAATGATTCGCCAGATTCCCTGGTATTTCAATTTGCTGGCTAATAGCAGAAGCGTGGCATCCCGCTGCCTGTCTGCTGCAGCAGTCCGTGTCTCGGGGTGAAGGGCTGCTGGCGCACTTGCCGCATGCCCACGGCTCACTGGGGAGATTGCCTGCTCCCTCGTTCTCAGCAGGTTGTAGCACGCACCCCCCCCCTGAAGGTACCGGAAAGAGGTCTGGGATTTCCCTGGGGTTAGGGGGTCCAGAACGCCCTCCCGTTAACTGGTCGGGCAAAAGCGCTGCTTGTGTTCAAAGGTGAGGCCAGTGCCACAGGGGGGTCAGGAGGCTCCGGTCCATCCTTCTTCAGTCAATGGGCCGAATCATCATGCGCACGCCCTTCATGGAGTAGGAGCCGCCCCCGTAGTCAGCCCAGAAGATGCCATCTTGGAATTTACTGCGGTAGACCCCCCCAGTGTACCACACTCCGTTGAGGTTGGTCTGGCCGCAAGCGTTGTACCACCAGCCTCCTTTATGGAAGTGCGCGCAGTTACCTGCATGGGGGTCAGGGAGTCACACACAGATTGGCAGTGAGCTCCTACCTACATGTGACTGACTCTGAACTCTCTTTTGGCAGTGAGCTCCTACCTACATGTGACTGACTCTGAACTCTCTTTTGGCAGTGAGCTCCTACCTACATGTGACTGACTCTGAACTCTCTTTTGGCAGTGAGCTCCTACCTACATGTGACTGACTCTGAACTCTTTTGGCTCGTTTACCCCCTCAATTCTGAGATGTCATTCAGTTAGAGACCATTCTGTTTGTTCTTCTGATTTTAGGTCTTTCGTAGTTCAGTGTTATAATTCATCAGATGCCGATAATCGCTCTCTTTCTGTGCTGATTCAGACTGATCTGCAACCACTATCCAGTGCTGGCTTTGTCTTATTAATGTAGCATTATGTTCATCAGAGAGGAGATCTTACCTGTGCTTTTCAACATTATATGTGCTTGTATCATGTGATTTTGGACTGCTAGCCCTCTAATCACTCCTGCTAGCCTTCTCTGGACTTTTGCAGGTTTAACAGCTGATGCAGGGTGTTCTCATTAAATTTGATGACTTATATCAAGGTAGACGGAGAAAAAGGGAGAACAAGAATGTTTGTGCTCTACCTGAGAAAGTGTCCTTGTCTCGGTCCAGCGTGGTGAAGGGTTTGCCATTGTGGCTGCTCAAGGAGTCACCAGCATTGCCCTGATAGGTGCCCAGGCGCAGCCTGTAGAACTCACTCTCGGGCTCTAGGCGAAAGCTTCTATACTCGGCATAGACCTTCTTCCCCGACCAGTCCTCCAGCTCCACCATCAGCCGGTAGTCCCTCTGTTTCGCCAGGCTGTAGATGTTCTCCAGACCCAGCCAGTACTCATTGTCTATGTTGCCGAACCCTTTCTGTAAAGACAAAGGTAGGAGACAGAGATGCTGTTTATGAACACAAGCATTGAGCTGAATTCTTTTGCCCCTCGTTTATTTTTCAGTTTCTGCACGATGTCTAGGTTTCAGATAAGTGTTTTCAGCCTTTTTTCATTCTGTTTTAGAGTTGTGTGTTATTTTGATGGCAGTGTGTAAGTGTGTAATCACGCTGCCCTAATGGTATTTCTGAGATGTCGTGAGAGGCCTCCAGTGGGACTGGGAGTCACTGTGTGTTGTGCATTTTACTTGTGTATTTGACATACTTTGAAGGCTTCTGTGGAATATAAGCAAACCACAATGGCCTTTTTCCTACCCTGAGATCTTTTGTTGTTGGCCGTCACTGCGAAGCTTTGAGCTGTTGGAGTAACAAGAGGTTCACCTTAGTCTGACTTTGGTCTCCCTCAGAATTCTGAGCGGCACAGGTATTGCTTGTATACACGTGTTGTGTTGGATGACAGACCGCACAGTTCCATATTTGTGGTTTTTGTTTGTGGCTGTGGAGTGGGGAGAGATAGGAGTGGTGCTGTTTTCTTTGGCCAGCCTAACTGACATGGTGAGCACTGGCAGCTGCAGCTGGCTGGCTAGTCAGATATCCTCCAGGCAGCACGGCTGAGTCACTAAGTTCTCATTATAGCCATCACCTTCTCCCCTATGCATTTGGAAGGTCTCAATACAATAGCCCAACCCTAGAACATATCTGTGTCTTATTAGGCTCGTGTCTGGTCTTGGATGTCCTGCACCACTGGGGGTAGCGGTTTGCATTTATGCATCATTATCTTGCTTTTAAAACAGCCTCCAGTGTTTCTGGGCTATGGATTAGCTTCTGAATAATCTCTTAAAGAGCATATGTATTAGATAAAAATAACCGTATTTAAAGCCCTCAGAGTGTCACGTGCCTTAATTGTTAAAATTGTCAAAAGTAGCTTGTGGTCGCAGTCTGTGCTGCTCTTGCTCGATTTGCGGGGCCCCACCTTGTAGGTGTCCCAGTTCCTGAAGAAGTTGACGGAGCCGTCCCTTCGGCACTGTATGACGGTCCAGCCCCCGTTGTCCAGAGCATGTTCGCACCATGCCTGCATCAGGTGCTCCATACCATCGGCCTTGAGCAGGTATATGCCGCTGGTGGTGAACCCTGCCTGCCGTGCCTGGTAGCAATCCCCGAATGGCCCTGAGGGACATACAGAGGGGACACGGGGGCCACATTATGCACATCATGCCTTCTCATTGGCTGTCAGACTGTGTTGTCAAGAACAGCTCTGTGATGGTGTGTAACCCTTAGATTCGTTCGATTGGCGGGGGAGCTGAAGTCCAATTGGACAAGCCGTGCAAAGCTCACAAACTTGCTGTCGCCTGACGGGTCAGTGAAGCTGCTGTATGTGAGGGATAGCCAAGACAAACTCTCAGCCATTTTAAACTTTGCTTCGCCAGAACAGTGCCAGTTTCATTCTAGTCATGTGGATTCAAACCATTATCTTGGGCATATGCCTAGGCACGGATAGTGGGCATATCTCCTGCTTCCCAAGTCATGGCATTGTGTCTCCCTACTCTCCCAGCCTTGTGTCAGCTGTCGAAATTACGGAGCTTGTCACTCCTAACTTTAACGGTTTGGCTGAGTATCAGTCACATCCTTACTTATAAAGTCCCACATACTTCATCTTCCATCAAGATGTCAAATTTACCGAACAATTATCCACGTGGGAGCTGAGTCATCTGCTTAGTAAATAATGTATCTGGCTCGTTCTGTGGAAGTTTTGGGCCGTGTTATTATAGGTGTTTTATTTTTTTGTCCTCATTGGGAAACTTTAGGGACTAATGAAGACTCTTTCTGCGAGCGTAGACTCCAGACAGAGAAAAGGCACATAAGTTGAGGACTTACAGAGGGAGTTTAATATCAGAACAGGCATCGTGAAAGTGGCTGCGTGTGTGTGTGTTTTTCACTACATCTTGTTATTTTTACTTGCTTCCTGTTATCTTGCAGTTGATTAAAAGGAGCTGGGCAGTGATTGTGAGAGGAAAGTACAACTGAGAGGTTTCCATGTCAGCAAAGTATTTAAGGGAAGCAGTGGGTGGCGGCTGGTGTTTTTGATCTGTCAATCTATCCCGAAAATGTACAGCTGGCCTGGCTCTCCTCTAGGGCCAGTATGACAAATGACCCCAATCTCTCATGCTCTCTCTTGGATGGAAACCACAAGTCGTGTTTTTCTTGATCTCAAAGCATCAGCCCTCCTGTTCCCAATTTGCCTTCAGACATTCAAATTTTCACCTTCTCTTGAGTCAGCACGTTTCAGTTTGATTTCTGAACTGGTCTGGAGTCCAACCACTGAGCTGTGCCAGAAACACAGAATCCTCCTTCAGAAGGGCAGAGCGCTTTCTTACTCAGTGTTAATAGAATAGCATGTGCTGTAGTAGCTAGGCACAGCCAGTTGGAATTGCTTGAAGTGTATGATCGTGTGTTTCACTAACTCAGGCTTGGTTGTCCCGTCAGTTCAGTCAGCTCACATCTAGCTCTTATACAGATGGCAAGGAACCAAGCAAAATACTACACAGGGTGTTCATACTTTGTCTCATTTCCTACCGGACAGTGTCACATTCTCGACAGCGATTTCACAGCATTCCTCAGCCAGTTGGACTCATATTCAAGTTTACTCATATGCTCCCAGCTCCACCAGTAATCTCGCCAGTCTGAGAGCCGGCGTGGATAGGGGCTTTGGAGAGTGGGGCTGTTTTTGTACTGAAGTAGAGCTCTCCTAAAGCCCCATGAGGAATCTGCGGTGACAGTTTCCCCTTGGATGAAGAGATTTACCACCACCTCCTTCTCCACCTCCCCGCTAATTCCGCTGTCATCCTCGAGACCCAAACTACCGCACTCCCCACAAATCGTAAGTCCGTAATACGCACCAGATGAGCATCAGATAATGACACATTGCTTTATAGCTGCCTGAAGCTATAGCAGGAATAAACATTTAAAATGATTTTAGAGACGCATAATTTTGTACTATGCTGAAGAATTTCAATGTAGCTGCATTCTGTGTTTCTGGGTATGTCTGTTTTTCACATTAGCCATAACAGACGTGTTCATTCAGGTTTCAGACACACTATAATTGTGGATCCATGCTCCTTGCCTGCATGCTGGCACTGTAATGCCGATCCAGGCTGTTAATCGAAAATCCTTTGTGAAAAGCCCTTCATTCAAGCCAGCGAAGCTCTTAATTTTAAATCGTACCTTGAATTTTCACATTATCTTGGGTATAAAGGCAATTTTGGGATTTTAATATCTCTGATTTTTAGTAGTGTTTCTGACTGGAAGTCAAAGGTGTCTCTGTAATATTTATTTGTCCTTTTCCCAGCGTTGAGTACCAAGGGTAAACTGTACGTTTGAGGTCGCCTCACCCTCTGAGCTGAAGTTGCCCTGGGGGGGTATAGCAAAACCAAACGGGCTGACAGTGGGGGGTGGATCCATGCGGGGGCCCGGGTCTCGGGGAAAAGCCCTGTTGTGGTCCCTCTGGATCTCATTGGTGAAGGTGTTGACGGGCAGGTTCTCCGGCACCACCTGCACCAGCGGGGGTCCCACAAGGGGGGTCCGGCGCCCGTAGAGTCGGGGGCACTGCTCCTCCAGTGCGGTGATCAACGCTGACTGGTTGTTGACCAATGCAGCGAGCGCCGAGAAGCGTGCCTCCAGCTCCTTGTAGCGCGCGGCCAGCCGCAGCATCTCAGCCGTGGCGTTCAGCACGCGGTTCTCCAGCTGCGCCGACTCCAGCGCGTTATCACGCTTGCGAATGATCTCATGCAACAGCTGAGTGTAGAGCTGCGTCACCCGTGAGTTCATGTTGCGGCTCTCTTTGCGCATCAGCTTGACCTCGCTGACCAAGGCGCCGTCCACGTCAGCCGCCAGCCGCAGCATCTCCATCTCGCGCTGCTGTCGTGAGAGCACGTCACGCACGTCGGCAATGTCCATCCGCGTCACGCGGTCCTTGTCCCCAACTGGCCCCATGGAGCTGGCGCAAATGGGGCCTGTGATCTTCTGCTCAGGCACCAGGAAGGTGTAGGAGCACTTGCCTGGTCTGTCATCCTCTGGCGACCTGCGCATGCGCGCCGGCGATTCCCCAGCCAGGCCCTGCATCCCACTGCAGGCGGACAGGCAAAGCACAGCGCACAGGGCCCATGCCGAGCGTCTCATGGTCACCTCTTCTCCTTCCAATGTGCCGTCGTTATCCTGCCAATTCACCTCCGCCTACCTGCAGGGCGGGAGCAGAAAACCCATATTTGTCAGCTTGATTGTAAATCTCCCATAATGCTTTGCTGTTCCTTGGTGATTTTTGTTTTGGTCTCATGATGGCACCAAAACCTAAGAACGGGCCATAAACTGCATTGCTGGCAGGCGGACGGGGTACTGGAGTGCAGAGACGTATGGGAAATCTCGGTCCTCGTAAATCATTTAATAACAGTGTACTTTTTGTACTATGAGCTCAGACAAACGGGCTCACCGATTCCCACCATTTCCTTCTAGACTTATTTCTGATCTGCTTTAGTTCTCTTATAGTCCCCTCGGCACAGAAGCAAGCGCTACAGGCTGCTTCCCTCTCCCCCTGCAGCTTTCCCTTATAGACGCTCTGCCTGCTTGAGAGTTAGGATAGTAAACCCTTTGGTCATATGGTTTCGTTTTGAGCGTGTTGTGTATTTTCCGTGGCTCTGCCGTGCGTCTTCCCCGGACTCAGATGAAAGACATTCCAGCGTCTCCCTGAGCGACACCAAGGGCCAGAGTGTTGAGCCCAGCACTGCCCCCCCATCCCCATGGCCACGGTCGTCATCATTCTGGATATTTCACTTCGTAACCCTGCCGCTCACACACAGACGTGTCCCTCCTGCTCACAGTGACACGGTGCGGAGAACTTGTGGCTCTGAGGCTCACGTTTCTTTAGGCGCCTCGCACCCACCTGGTTTCGCTGTCCAAAGCAGACCTGGGAGCAGACTGCAGGACCCAGTGGAAAAGCCAGGGAAGATGCCCGAAATTGCCAGGATGTTGAGTGTCTCTGCTCAACCCAGGAACGCCACTTCTGGAGAATGGCTTCGGTGTCTTTCAGCCTCCCTGCTTAATTAGTGCTGATATTACAATGAGTGTAAAAATCTGTGCTTCCATGTCAGCAAGGACTTAGATGTTGCCATTCCCACTGACTCATACTGCCGAGCTTGCAGGGGAACAGCAGGCGTCCCTCACTAATGCTTATCAGTAGCATGTGCTGCGTAAATAGATTCCGTTTCCTCCAAACAGGAAACATGGCCAAATTAAGAACACACAACCAATGCTACCACAACAATGCCTGTGAAAACTACAAATGTCAATATAAATTACCAGTTAATCTCTTTAATGATATACCCCATGAATCTATGGGAAAATAACTAAATGATAATTGTACTGCCTGGTTACTGGTTTTAATTTTATAATAACACAGTCAAGTGTCTCCTGATCCAGCAAGAGTAATATGATGTCTGACATGTCAGCAGAGCTTGTCACTTGGGCTCAGGCAAGTGCTCACTGGTGCCATATGCTGTCACACTGATGGATTGATGTCTTATTGGCTCTCCGTCACTGAAGGTCTGTTTGATATCTTATGTGCTAAATTTTACTCAGCAGTCACCATTGCTGTTGTGTATGAGGGAGGTCAGCTACCTCTGACCCAGGAACCTAGTGCAGCTTAGTGGTAAAATGTCAGTCACCCTAACTATCACCTTAGGTTGATGCTGTTCAGCTAAATGGCTGCTTCAATATTAGTTTAAATACTAGAACTAGTGGCTATAAGTGGAAAGTAGCAGGAGAACATTTTAAAATGAATTTGAAGCACTTCTTTACACAGCGTGCAGTTAGAGTATGGAATAGTCTTCCTGTTAGTGTAGTGCAATCTAAAACCCTGGGTTCAGAGCTAGATAAGATTTTAACAACACTGAGCTATTAGTTAAGTTCTCCCCAAACGAGCTTGATGGGCCAAATGGCCTCCTCTTGTTTGTAAATTTCTTATGTTCTTATGTACAAGTACAGTTTAAAAAACATGGTTTTCTCGATCAGGTTGATCTGTATCACCCTGAGACCTATGCACATATTAGTGTCCTCTGTCATTTTCCCTGTTTTACAGTAATATTACCCCGCACCCCAAACATTATGAAATAACTTCTGACTGTTTGCTTTGGAGGATTTTGGGTTTGCAAAGCTGAACTACACCTGTGCTCTTCATCTAGTTAGCATTAAGTACTGTTAACCCAAATACACCAAAATGGTGAAGCAGCCATGTTTGTCAAATCATAATTTTACTTTGTAACAGTCTGTGCATTCCTCAGGACTTGTGTTATTATGAATACTACAATTTTAATATGTGGGGTGTTACTGGAAAGTTTTTATATAAACCCAGGAGTGTTCAATTAAAATTGCACAGCTGACATTAATGGTCTGCTTCAAGAATACAGTTTATTGAGACTTAAATTGTGCTCTTGGTTGTAAAAATTAGTGGCCGTCAAAATGCAACCTTCCCACATCTGGTGTTCAGACCTCACTGAGATAATAATTCCAGATATTTGCACGTTAAACTTCATTCGTCTCTGAAAAAACGAGAAAAACCCCATAGGGGAGTTGTATTACTTTTTCTTTGGTTTACGGTGTAGTGTAAATGTACTGTACTTCCACACTACTGTTGGCTGGAATGAGTGAGGCCAACAATCAGGATGTGCTTTCCAGAAAAACAAGTAAATTAAAGTTGCATACAAAAAGCTCAGTGTCTGGATGTCAGTGTCTGTAGCTTCTGCTGCAATCCTGTCAGACCATGGCAGATGGAAATTTAGCCAATAATCAATCCAGAGGATCTAGAAAAGGTGACTGTTACACATGGAAAACCGTGAAAACGACCAGTTACAAACGCCACCAAGGAAGATGCAAGGCAGACAGGAAGCTTCCTTAATTTTTCACTCGTGGTTGTCTTCAGTCTCAGATGTTAAATGGGGAGCAGGAGGGAACGAGGCAGACCGGTTTTGGCAGCCTTGGCCCTATTGAGTGTCCTGCAGTGAATTTATTAAGCCAAACCCCCCCAGGAAACGCATTGGGACTGGAGGTTTTTATTTCCGAAATTTATCCTGGGAAGGAATTTGCCTACATAATGGATGAGTGATTTAATGGCTGGAGTGGGAACGATTGGGAAGATGAAACGCGTTGGCTGATTGGGTCCCGTGTTCTGTAGAAGCACATGATGCTGGAGGGCAACTAATCGGCGGGCTGCTGTTTGGATGGCCTACTCCGCCTTTATAAACAGTTCAGTGTTTGTTTCATTTCCAACTGGCACCTTCTATTAAATAGCTATGTGTCGGACGTTCTCACTCCCTGATGAGTTGCCTTTGTGGGTAATGTCATGTTTAAAGACCCCCCACCCTTGCAGTGTAAAATCCCTTTGAGCAGTTTACATTTGTGGGGGTGAGGCTGTAAGGCCGTGCCTAGCGTGGGTTCCTGCATGAAGCCCCCTGACCTGCAGTACTCACCTCCACCCCCACCTACAGTGCACTATGACACTGCATTCTCTGTGTGGTTATTCCCGGTTCCCACCGTGTGCCACCCCTGCATTCAGCACTCAGCTTGCAGTCCCGTTTCAGGCAGCCTGTAACTTGTGTGCCTTTTTCCACAGCTGAGCTCTTAGTTAATTAGCCCTGATTAAGCCAGGCGCTGCTTCATGCTTCAACTGGTGTTAAATGAAGCCCAATGTTTAGAAACCTGTTTCCATTCGCAGCACTGATTCCAGTTCCAGCACTAATTTCTTAGGGCTTGTTTGCTTCACCAATGATTAAATAAAGCATGCTACATATTTTATGTCCTGTTATAGTCCTTTCCGCAATAGTTTTCCACATTTTGAATAATTAATCATATAGGTTCCTGCAATGAAGGACCTGTTATTAAAAGTGGAAGCATAATAATTTAAAATGTCAGAATATTTGAGATGCGCTGAGCAAATGCTGGACAAATGCTGGGTTCAGCTTGACTGAAAATGTAAAACAAATCTTCAGCTGACTCATCCAGCCTGAATTCATTTGGTTCATTAACAGCTAAGTCAAGGTTCATTAATTACAGGTCTGTTGATGCTAAAAACCACTAAACCAAGCAAGAATTTTTTTTTTGTTCAAAAATCCAATTATTTGAATAAATCACTAACCCCACTACCCCCTAAATGGAGGCTTACTGTAGATGCGTCTTGTCACATGTTGACTTTGGCTCGTCTCTCCTTGCCTGGCTCCCTATCCCTCACCGCGCTTCTCACTCAGCTTGGGGGGCCTCCTACGCTTTTGCAGATGGCCGCACAGGCCCTCTTTGCTTTGGTCCCCGTTGTGGCACACAGTGGCTTTGGCCTGCTCTGTTTAACGTGATCCTTGTCGACACGCCGGAATGTTCCTTGTTATAAAACTCCTCTCCAAAGTACATTTTCCTGTGCCCAGGTAACTGCTCATTTACATTTACAGAGAGGTGTGTTTCTAGCCATAAACCCACATGGTGGTGAATTACTCCCAGTGTCACCGGGTCTTTGGAGGACGAGGCCCCAACCCCCCCCCCCTTCCCGCTGGGCTGCGGTCAGAGAACGCTCCGAGGCTCAGGAGGGAGCTGGTGACTAAAGCCCTGTGTGCTTGTACTCTTCGGTGGGTGTGAGGTCCCAGGGTCTGCTGCACAGCAGGATCCCTAATTTCCCTGGAAAAACCTGTGGCGGGAAAGGGGGAGGGGGCTTCAGGGGTCGAGTCTCATCACGTTCTGTCCTGTCTGATTTATACCGCTCATGTATTCATATTTTCCTTGCTCGCAAGGCAAATGGGTGCCTTTTTTTTGCCCTGAATCGGGGGGGGCTTTTCACTCTTATCCCAGCGGCCCCCAAATGAAAATAGACCAAGCTTGGGGCCCCAACCAGTAATGCAAGATCGCACTAAGAACTAAGAACCAGGGGAGCTGCAATATCTCTGCTGTTAGGTAAAGTGGGTGGTTATATCGCCATCCCACCAATTTGCGATATGTTTCTGTAGATGCTCTGCAGCAGCGCTGTAGGCTCTCTGTCAGAAACCCCGTGTCCTAGACACCGAGCCGCCCTGCAGAGGCCTGGATAAAGGAACTCGGGTGAAGATGACAAGTAACAGACTGTGGATCAGGCTTCCAGGGGAGTGGTGTACATGCAGAAGGTCCCCTGCCTATGAAATGAGTAAGGATGTAGAGGCTGGTCTCCTGGTGACACCACATGCTATGGAGCTCAGCTGTGGGTCTGCTGGTTGCGAGCTGCACCGCGAATCTCAGCTAACTGACTCCGATGGATAGGTTTCTCTCCTCTCATGACTGGGGGGTTGAGGGGGTGGGGGAATGGCTTCACACAGTGACCCCAGGGCTCGCCGTACTATCCCAATTGGCACGGTGGAATGCCCCTCAGGAGGGAGTCACGCTCCCAGCTTTAACAAGGCCTGCTTTGATTGGGACCAGCTGGGAGAGGCCCGGTGCCTCTGTGTGGGAAGGGCTCGCCTCTCTGGGTGTTCCTCTCCTGCCACCATCCCGGCCCTGTTTTTATCAGCATTGGGAGCATGATTGTCTCTGTAATGCCATACATCACAAAAGGTGCTTTTACGAGCTTCACCCATTTCATGTTACAGCTGTGCTAATCGGTATAGAAATCATTTTGGAAGTAGATAAAAAAAAAAAAAAAAGCTTATGATTGTGGTTTTCTCCTCTAGTACTGGAAATTAACAATGTACTTCTAAATGAAACATTGAGTTTGAGCCCGAAAAAATGAGTCCCCTTTTCTGATGCACCTCTGTCTCACATCACTGAAGGACAGATTTTGGCAGTGTGGCGTGGTGATCACGCCATTGGGCGTGGCTGACCTTTCCCCTTCAGCCTCTGGGCCGAGAACTTTCAGTGCTGTCATTAAAGTTTTGAACATTTGGAAAATGAGGATTGAATATTGCACTTTTCTTAGCGGGGGAGAGGTAGCGGTGCTCATGAATGAGACTCCTATCCCGGGTGAACAGTCCTTCTACTATCGATGAACCGAACGCTGGGAATACGTCACCCGGGATGCGGGCTCTCACCTTACAGCCAGAGGTCGGGCTCAGCGGCACACGCGTGACCACACGCATCGACACCTGCGCCTATAATTAGCTGCTCACTCAAGCTAAAATTAGCAGAAACTCTTGGCCATGCCGCTGTTAGCTTAAAAGTGGCCTTAAACATGCAGTTGCTTCTCAGAGATCCCTAACAGGACTGTGGAACAAACACAGAGGAACGAAACCGTCAGAAGGACCCAGTGTCTGTCCACCCTCCCTGCATGTGCCGATTTTGGAGAAAACTCACGACTAATCCAAGCCTGTCACCATGATCTGGGATGCACTAGGAAGCAGTTTTCCCTTGGAGTCTCGGGGGGAGTGTCAGAATGCCCCGGTGCACTCACCTTAAAGAGCCTGTGGGGCGGTCTTCACTGGGAGGGGGCCTCAGCCAGAGAGTCTGTCGATTGCATGCCGGGGTGGGGGTGCTCGCTAGCCGGTCCCAAAAGGTGGCGGTTAAGACATTGCCCTGCAACAGGACATGCGGGAGCTGCAGCTTGAGGAAGACTGAGCAGCCGACAGCTGATTGCATCTGCTTTGTACAAAACGGTGGGGGGGTGCGAGAGTGTGTGAGGGAGTGTTTCGGGGAGGGGGAGGGGAGTGGCTGAACTTAAGAGCTGTCCAGCCCACCTCTGATGTCACTCATGCCTAAAAGCAGAATAGCAGAACCCCTCCTATTGGTTTGACATTTCAAAAAAGTTGTTTTTTCCCCCAAAAGAAAATAGAATAAGATCAGGGGGCAGACAGACTGACCCTGACAGTCAGGAGCTGCTAAACGCTGAGGAGAGAGGCTCTCTTTTCTTTCCCATGAGACCTGCCTGTGGAAAGCGCCCTCCGCAGGTCATGTGTATAAAATGCCAGAGGACCAGAGCGCCTGAATTATCGCCCAGTCACTGAGTGTCGCCATTTTGACTTTAATTTTGTTCCGGGTCTAATTCTAGGTACAGATGCGGTTTACACATTTGCCCACTTGGAGTGCAGGGTGCTTTCTGGACCGGTTCCGCTCATCTCTGCCCATGTGCATGAGTGGTAGATGAGTGGGTTTTGAATAGGATGGATGGGCAGGATTCTGCATAGCACATCATGCCCCCCGCTTTTATAAGACTAGCAATAAAGGAAGGGGATTGAGTTACTTTCTGAGTGTGTCATACTCCACACCAGGTTGATTCATGTGTGTTCCTGAAGGTGGCGGTGGAGGGCCTGTAGGAGGACGTCATATGCACGGAGTCATGCTGGCTGTTTAATGTATCAGCGTATCAGGGTGAAGGTAGGAGACCTGCACCCTGTGTCGCGTTAAGCAAGAGAAGTCAAGCCCTCCAAGCAGCACGATCGCAACACACTCTGAGACATTTTGAGCAGCTGCCAATCTGCCACCCCCTGCCCCGACACGCTGCTGTGAAGTGGGTCACTTTTGGGGTCATGCTGCTTTCAGAAAGCCAGAGAACAGCACGTCTAGCTCAGGGACTGTGATCTATTACTAAAACTAGTTCTTTTTGGCCCATCAGCTTTCTGGGGCTAGTGGCGTAAGAAACCAATTCCCCTTTTCATTAAGTCTTTTTTTTGATTGTATTGCATTTTTTGGAGCAAGACTCATTCCTAGCAGTTACTTAATTATATGTGAGATGTTCTTCTTTTGACAGCAATTTTTATTTGGTGTGTCTGACATGTACATGCTGTTAAGGAGGAGGGGAATCCTTTTTCCCAGAACGGCTAGATAGAAATGCACTTTCTACTCCTTAGTTTGAACTTTGGGTCCTTTCCTCTAAGTCTGATCACATATAAATAATTTTGCAGAGAGCTGTATGTTAAACTTCTCCCACAGTTCTATTTTCCAAAACCCATACTTCAAATGTGAGTCTTCGGGGGGGGTGCTGTGATGGTGTAGCATTGCCCTTTTTGTTCTAGCCAACTTGCGTCTCCCCAGCCCCTCACCGCGCACAGCTGGCATGCTCCACCTCGGTGTCGATCAGTAATGAAGATTTATGTCGTACATCAGCATCAAAGAAAGCATGCCATCAGGCTTCCTAATCTCAAGGTTTAATTCCTAATCCTGTTAGGGGATAGCTCTTACCTCACCCTTCTGCTGCTGTCCTGTTGATGTCTGCTTTCTTCAAGCTGCCCCCCCCCCCCCCCCTCTGCCCCCCTTCCCCCCCCCACGAGATATTAACCCCCCCCCCCCCCCCCCATCCTTTGCCGTCCTTCCTCATGCCTCCTAGGATTAACCCCCCAGATCCCTTGCTCCTTTTTTATTTGCTCTGCACAATGTTCTGCTTGAACATGCTTGGACTCATTTTGCAAAGTCTAAACTCTGAAATGCTCTCATCTCTTCATGAGTTTTTACCCAAAAGGAAAGTTTGTGTTTTCCCCCCCCCCCCTCATAATTTCTGGATCATGTCTCTTCCCTCATTTCTGACTCGTGTTCATCTGTCAGTTGTGTAGTACTGTAAACATTCAACTTCGAGTTCCATTCATGGAAGCCAAGAGGCCCGCAGCTGGGTCCAGCTGACATCGGCGGCCTCTTCAGTCCCCCCCTGCTGGGTGACCGGTCGCTGGGAGCCTGGGAGGCTGCTCGTTAACATGCCTGATCTGCTCCGCCGCTCGGAACGGGGGCTCCTCCTCTCACTCCTGCCACTGTAGCCTTCTAGCTGAGCCCCAGATGCATGGGATCCGATCTCAGTTCAGCTGTTTATATAGCGCTCTGGTAGGATAGTGATATCATAATGTCTCAGTATTCACTATACAGTACAAGTAAGCAAAACAGCAAATGCTGAAATCTAACTTCATGTCTGAGAAGACCGCAAGCTCACTGCAGACTTGGAAGGGAGTGTGGCTCTGTTTTCATCCCTCAGTTGGTTCACACATACAGGGTCAGAGGCTTGCATTTGTCTTTCACTCCAAGGGTCTTTGGTTTGAATGTTCTCTCTCTTGCCTCCTTATACATTCCCAGTCCAGATTCTAAATCTCCTCCATCTTCCTTCTCTCTATCATGATTATAACTGGCCTTCGAAAGAAAGGCTGCTGTTATTTATTCAAACGTTTCCGGTGCATCTTGCGCCCATGACCCAAGCTCGTTTCCAATGCTTGTCCTTCAGGGATGTATCTGTCAGACTTGACCTACATAGACTCGGCCTACCCCTCCACCGGCAGCATCCTGGAGAGTGAGCAGCGATCAAACCTGATGAACAACATCCTGAGGATCATCTCTGACCTGCAACGCTCCTGTGAATATGGTGAGTCATGCAGGACCACCTCCCTTTCAGTGCAGCGGTTTTCAGCTCTCGCCACAAACAGCCTTACCTCAACCCCCCTGCCCCCATTTCCCACAGATATACCAGTGTTGCCTCACGTCCAGAAGTATCTCAGCTCTGTTCATTACATCGAGGAGCTTCAGAAGTTTGTAGAGGATGACAACTACAAGTAAAGAGCCGGAACCCTTCAGACCTGCTGTTGCCACAGCCTAGACCCATGATAGGCTGTTACGTCTGCTGACTCTCTTGTGGTCCCTCCCGTCAGGCTGTCCTTAAAGATTGAGCCCGGTACCAGCACCCCTCGCTCCGCAGCCTCCAGAGAGGACCTCGCAGGTTAGTGTCTGGCCAGGTCGCTCAGGAGAAATTGGGTTCAGAGGGAACTGCACCGAAATGCTGAGTCTTGGCCTCTTCCCTGTCCAGGTCCGGATACATCCTCTCCCCAGTGTGGCCGGAGAGGGACCTCAGCAGACGGCGCCTTGGCCAAAGGGCCGGCCACGCCTCCTTCACCGCGAAGCCTCATTCCCTACGGACACAGGAAGTGCCGCAGCCTAGGATACAAGTCAGTCCCTAGCAAATATTTCCTGGATGAATCGCCACCCTACAGTGGTGGCAGGGTTTGTGTGTAACAGTGATGCCATGAGCTATGTTCTTAAAGGCAGTTGCTCCTGGTCCTAGGTCTAGACTAAATGCGATTCAGATGACCTTTATGAAGAATACAACCAATGAATGAAAATCTCGCCCGGAGCAGGGTTACCTGGGCCCCGCCCTGAAGCCAGGGCTGTGTGGGGGAGCTTATCAGGCCTTCACCCACAGGGCCCAGCCGGACACAACCCAAATGAGCTACATGGGACCATTCTTCTGTGGGATCTCTACATGCAGAAGGAGCTATAAGGGTCTAGTGCATTGTGGTTTGGGCAGCAGTCGAAGACAGAGACTTGGTGGACCTATCCCCAGTTACTGAAACTGGCTGTGGGGATATGGAACGTAGCTTCTCTGGTGGGAAAGGAGCTTGAGCTAGTGTGGGAGGTAGAGAGCTACCATCTAGATATAGTCTGACTAACCTCAGTGCACAGCACTGGTTCAGGCTCCTTTCCCACCAGAGAAGCTACGTGAGGAACCGGAGGGTGTGTTCCGTCTTCAGGAGGATCACACTCCTCAGCCTCCCTGGGAAGACTTATTCCGGGGTCAAAGCTCAGACGCAGGAAGAACAATACGGATTCCATTCTGGTTACGGAACACTGGACCAGCATTTTACCCTCACAATGTACTGGAGGGTTCATCCAGTCTGCATGTGTTTTGTGGACTTGGAAAAGGCATATGGCCGTATCCCTCGAGGGGAGGGGCCCTGTGGCAGTGCTTCTGGAGTTTGGGGTACAGGGCCTTCTGCTAAAGACTATTTGGTCTAGAGCAAGAGCTTAGTTTGCATTGCTGCCAATAAGTCAGACTTGTTCCCAGTGGGTGCTGGACTCCGTCAGGGCTGTCCTTTGTCACTGATTCTGTTCATAACTTTTATGGACGGAATTTCTAGGTGCAGTCAAGGGGTGGAGGGGCTGCAGTCCGGTGACTTCAGGGTCACATCTTAGCTTTTTGGCAGATGGTGTGGTCCTGTTACCATCCAGCTGTGACTTCCAGCATATACTAGGGCAATTTGCAGCCATGTGAAGTGACTGAGACGTGGATTAGCACCTCCAAGTCTGAGGCCATGGTTCTCTACCAGAAAAGAGTGGATTGCCCCCTCCAGGCTAGGGATGAGTTACTGCCTCAGGAAGGCAAGATTAAGTATCTTGGTCTTGTTCACATGTGAGGGAAGAATGGATTGATAGACTGATCGGTGCTACATCAGTAGTCATGTCTTTAGGGCAGTATGCATTAGCGAAGTCTCATACGTCTGTGCTTGTCCCCTCCAGCTTCATCCACAAGGTAAACACGACCGAGTTCAAGAGCGCCACCTTCCCCAATGCCAGCTCCAGGCACCTGCTGGACGACAGCGTCCTGGAGAGTCACACACCCGGCCGGGGCCAGGCGGAGAGCTCCACGCTATCCAGCGGCATCTCGCTCGGTTGGTTGCAGTCGTCTCCCGCTTCTGGACACACCCCTGCAGTGTGTGACTGTTGACCTCTGTCCGCAGGGAGCAGTGATGGCTCAGAGCTCAGCGAGGAGATGTCCTGGCCCGCTTTCGAAAGGTGAGCACACATGGGCATGCCGCCTGCTGATGGTCCCTGACATCCGGCTCTCCATGCTGCCTTGGGAGCCCAAATTGAGTGAATCGGATCAGTGCGCCGGCCTGCCCAGGCTGGGGTCACCGCATGCACTCTGGGTCTCCCTGCATGAGCACGTCAGACCTTTCTGCAATTGAATTGCAATTGTTTCAGTGTGGTGTACAGTATTTCACTTTGAGCATTATTATTGCATTAGGTGTGTACCATCTCTGTACAAAGCAGCCTTTTCACCTCTTGATAAAGCTGTTTTATTATCTGGAGTAATTCCTCTGCAAATTTAACTGAAAAGTGCCTCAGGATGAACCTGCGAGGCTCCAGGGACAGCAGCCGTCAGGTCACCGGTCTGCGATGTAACCCAAACTCCGGCAGTTACTGCCCTGCCAGCTCTCGGCCTGCTTGTGGTGGCTTTGTCATCTTGCTGCTTGGCCGTGTCACTCGTCATCTAAGCCCCCAGGGGGTCCGAGCAGTGCACTCCCAGTATGTAGCGAGAGCACCTCAGATGTAGCCGCGCAGACCAGCCGCTTTGATCCGGAACAGATTTCTGCCCTGCTGTGCCGTAAACCACCTATATGCTGAAATTCAACAGGAACTGCTTCTATCACTCCCTGGGCCCTGTGACCAGGGTGGCCCGAGTTCCTTACAGAGGAGCCCAGAAAGCTGGCAGGTACGATGTCCCCCACCCCACCAGGGGGCAGCAGTTTGTAGTGCTGGCAGAGAGGTGAAATTTGGTGGCGGGCTAACCTGTGAATCACTTGCTGTAAGCCTCTGCTTCTTCAGCTTCCCCCCCCCCCCCCCCTCAGTTTTGCTGTCATTCTCTCCTGTGTTACCTGTGCTGTGTTACGGGGGCTGTCCATAAACACACAGAGAACTTCAGAAGGAGCCATTCACTCAGGCGGGGTATTTAACTCCGAGGTGTCAGTGGCCCTAGTGATGCCCGTTCCTTGCTGAGTTAGGGAGCTCACCGGAAGCCCCTGCCCTGTAACAGGAGGGGTCTGATGTTGGGGGGGTTAGTGCTACTCCGTTATGCAGAAGGGAACGATTGGGGGAATAGGAGCATTTTCTGCATAAACACCTGCTTAATTCAACATAACTGATTATTCTTTATGTGCTTGTTCTTGGACTCGTCCATGGTCTTCAGGTTTCCCTTGATATGCAGCCAACCCTCAGTAATCTGGTCAGTGTTTTCCTGAGGGGTGGTGCTGCCTAAGTCCTGAGATGCCCTGTTCTGTAGATACACATGCTTATGGCTGGAACATGTCCATGCTGCATTAGCATGGTACACACATACACATGGACAAATATTAAGCACTGAATGATCCAGTCCTAGGATCTAGCAGCATATGATTCAACACACTTATGTCTTGTGTGGCATCTGGACAGTTACCTTTTTGCCTTCTGTTGTAAAACTCTCAGTATTACTTGGGGTTGGCTGTATGTGTGTAACAGATTACGATTCCTGTGTGTGTGTGTGTGTGTGTGTGTGTGTGTGTGTGTGAGCGTGCACATGGGCACGATTGCACATGCATGCATGTGTGTGTCTGGCTCTTCTTGCCTCACTTGGCTCTCCTCAGCTGACCACCCCCCCCCTTTCCCCCCCAGCTCTGCGGAATCAGAGGAGCTGGCCATACACCTGTTCCCGGGGGCTGTGACGGTACAGGGGGTCCTGCGGAGAAAGACCTTGCTAAAGGAGGGGAAGAAGCCCACGGTGAGAGAGCGGCATGCTCCTTAGACCCCCCCCCGACCCGTGCGGCGCGTCATCAACACAGCTCTGCCCTCTGATGTTCCCGAAAGCAAACGCCACCCCACGCCCCGTCAGCCTTTATAACTGGGTGTCCTGCCTCTGGCATTTTAAATACAGGGACGACCTTTAGCTACATTGTAACGGGATGGGAGTACTTGGAAAAGAATGCTGCAGTAAAAACTCATAAACTACTGGAGTGATCATGCAGAAGAGGTTCTATGAACCACAACCTTCTCTGTGCTGAAGGCCTCGGAAATAGTGACCCAGTGGTGAAAAAAGCAGGATGGCTCCCGCATTCACTTTGGCTGCTGGTGACCCCTGGGCGTGTTTGTGACCTTTCAGGTAGCATCGTGGACAAAGTACTGGGTGGCTCTGTGTGGAACGCAGCTATTCTACTACCCCGCCAAGGCCCTGAAGGCCACACAGAGGAAACACGTGAGTGTGTCAGCAGGATGTGCGTGTGCCGGGGGGGGGGCACGATCACGGCCAGGGGGCTCCCTCACTCCTGCCATGGTAAAACTCAATAAAAGCCAGACTGATCAAAGGGTAACTTTTGCCATACTGTAAATTGACTTCATGTTTCTATATGTGGGTTCTAATAGATAGGGAGAGGGGTATTGAAAAGACTGAAGGACTGTGAATCGGTATGTAGAGATGCTACGGCTAATAGTCTGTGATCAAATACTTCTAGGCAGGGTGGGTCAGGGTCACTGCAGTGGTGGGACGTGGCTGGGATGCTATCAGGCTTCAAAAATACACAGAAATGTGCTTTGATACAAAATACCCCATTTGAAAGTATCAAAATAAACTACAAAATACAGCCACCAAGCAAAGTATCAAAATAAACCACAGTATTTTGTATTAAAAAAAACAAAAACACTCCACTTTCTTCTATATCAGTCTGTTCCTTCAGAAGCACACCGACTCAAATGGCCAAGCATTTGTCCACTGCTTAATGAGACACAATATAAATGTGAAACCAAACAAAAGATCAAAAATTCAGAAGTGTTAAATATATCCTAACTACGCATGTGAACATTCAGGTAGTCGGTAAAATGAAAAAGTAACAAACTTGTAATTTAATTGCTTCCTTTTATGCTACACAGATGTGTTAACTCAAACAACAAAATTTAAAATGGAAAAAACAGAACAATATAAGTGCTTCACTCAGCAACATCTCACAAAACTATAACAGACGTAGGCCTGAATGGAGCATGTAAATCTTTTGCTTCACCATAAGTGAACAACTATTGGCTTCAATGACTATTCATTAAAATGTCTGGAAAAAGCTAAACAGGCCCAGACAAACGTTTTGCACATGACATCATCATACATACATTATGGGGAAAATATTTCTTGCATTTTCAAAATAGAAAAGTTCTGAACATCAAGGTATTTTGATACAAATTACATAATTTATATGAAGTCAAATACAACTTACAAAATATAATTTTGTATTCAAAACATGTATTTTAAGTACATGAATCTGGGCTGTGCACAGCGAATACTATGTGTCTGTAAAGATGGCAGAAAAGCACTGTCGCTGATGTTTTCTGGAAAAACGGCCAAATTCTGTCCGTGTGTGTTCGTGACAGTTCAAGTCCACCTCCAGCAAGAGCGTGTCAGTGGTAGGCTGGATGTCCATGATGGCAGACGACCCCGAGCACTCAGATGTCTTCCTGCTGACTGACTCTGAACGCGGTGAGCACTCAAGGACCTCGACCTCCAGCTCATTGTGAATCAGTGCAGCAGTCATGCCCCTTCATTACAGTTGCATTGTGGGAATGTACGGAGAAGCTTCCCTGGACGGCCAGGCTTTTCTCTGAACTGACCACACCCTTGCCTCGGCAACTCTATGACCATCTGTTTCTCATCTTGGGCTGTTTTGGTTCCTGTTGGACATGGGGCCACACGGTCCCAGGATCTGGGTGCTGTAGTCTTATTCTCTGCATTCTGCACTGCCTTCAGTGAAACCGAGTCAAGCCCTGAGGAGGAATCTTATCTCCTCAGCTTTGGCTTGCGTCACGTCCTGAAGCTTTAGAGAAACATGCCAGATGATTCAGCTGACACCAGCATCCACATGGTGCATCTTGCGAGGCGCTAGTGATCTGGGGAAGCTGTGTTGTAACATTCTCCAGCTTCTGCACACAGATCCAAATCCTCAATGTGACATATAGAAGTATATTAATTTAGTGTAATTAATGCTTTCTTGCTCCTGTACTGTATACACTTGTAAGTGGGGATTCGATGGAAGCTCAGCCTAGCTACGTTAATAATGTGCTATTAACCTCACTTATATGTCGCTTTGGACAAAAAGGATTGTAAAATTGTAAAATGTTATACCTAATCTCGCCTGTCACTTCCATACATAGGATTCTGAAGGAGCTCTGTGTGAACTGAGGTTTCAGGTCTCATTGTCTTTTTTTTTCTTTTTAAGGAAATACTTACAAGTATCAGGCAGGAAGCCGGGCAAATGCTCAGCTGTGGTTTAAGCACCTGAGTGCAGCCTGCCAGAGCAACAAGCAGCAGGTAATTCCCAATACATCTGATCACAGGTCAGAACTTGGGTGGATTCTTAGCCTAGGTTTATGCTAATTACCATGGTGACAACAGATCTTCCATTTCATTCAGAGATAGGGAAGACCATTAAAATATGTCACATGTTAACCCTGAGAAACTGTCCCTCCCTCCATCCCCTCCGTGGCAGGTTCCTGCAAATCTGATGTCCTTTGAGTGAGCATCCTGCCCACGGAGCCCGCAGCAGTGTGACGACTTCGCCTCCCACTGCCCTCACCAGAGCCTGCCCACCTGCCACTGCTGCCTTAAGGCTGGAGGGGCCTTGCCTGCTGCCTCTGGCTGGGTTAACCACTGACCGCAGGGTCATGCTGCCCTGCAGCTCCGAAATGCTGCTTCAGACCTGTTTCCTTTTCCTCATAAACATGTGGGGACCTTGGAACGGACGCGGATCGCATCGCGTGGGACCTCAGTGTCGTCTGGCCTCCTCTTTGCTTGCCAGCTGGCCCTAACCTCCCATTACTGTTTCTTTTTGTCCTGCCCGTGTTGCATTGTAAACTAGTAAATGGGCCCAAGTACTGGTCCCAGAGGGACGCCTGCTTAGTGGCGCGCGCTACACCTGGGGCACCTGGGAGAAGTTTACGGAGCAAACACCATTTGTCTCTCTGGAGCCCTTCCTCATTGTAGGGGTTGAGTATTTTCACAGCTGGTTGCTACTAAAGAAAGAAGCATGAAACAGGATTTTCAGTTGCCATTTTTTTTGGGGGTGGCGACTTTTGCTTTATTTGTGAACAGGGACTCGTCGCTGCAGCTTTTTGAGCACTATTGGAATATTCGAATATTCAGCTCTCTTCCTTTATGAGTTTACACTCTGGGTAAATTTATAAATAAGAATTCAAATACTATAGGTACAATGTATGTTTTTGTGATCACATTTTGATTAGTTCATTCATCCGTCTTTTTAAAAAAACCTTTTTTTCTGCCAGCATGAATTCCATCAATGAACATTTAGACCAAACCTTGTTAATGAGACCTTCACACTGAGCAGCTGAAAGACTTTGGAGGGTTGCGAGTGAGTGAGGGTTCTTCACGAGGATGAGTGAAACATGAGCTCCGTGACGTACCGCCACCTGTAAAAACACACGCTTATCAGCTACGCAAAGTACAGACGTTTCCTTCTTATCTTTTACTTAGCTGTGTTTATTCATAACTTGTTTTTTGGGAGTCTCCAGTATTATTTTTTATGGGAATGTTGTTCATTCATTCGGTTGTTTAGCTATTACATTTATTTGCTCTTTGAGTGTCTTATGTACCAGTTCTCATTACTTGACTTTTTTATATGTGCATTTGATATGTTAATCTCTGACAGCTAGCACAGCATCACATGTAACGTTATGTTCTTCCTGACACTCGCTATTAAGCGGTGTTAAGCTGACTTCAGATCCAAACGAGCTCAACGACTCAAGTCCTGCTAGTTCACTATGAATTTTTATTTTTAATGTAAAAGGCACAAAACCTTATATCTATGTGTTTCAAATATTGCCACCATTTTGCTTCCATGTGTGAATTTGGATTTGCATCTTGGCAGTCAAATTGGTGTGAATTACACTGTTAGGGGCTGGGTGCTTTGTGGATATTTCAGTAGAAGAAAATTATAGTTATTTTGAAAATGAATCCCAGGGTCAGTTTCACTATTGGGTCCCTGAGCGAGGCCCTTAACCCCAAAACGCTACAGGGATTGACTGACCCTGCACTCTCAAAATGCACATTGCTTTGGATTAATGGCTCTGCTAAATAAGGACAATGTATATATAAGATGTAACATGAATATTATGCAACAGAAATTGGCAGTACAAAAAGCGAAGTATGTAGATTTAGTTTTTTTCTGTGAAATTGTCGGGCTCAGAATTCTGAAGGCAGGTTCATTTGGGTGCTATGAGGGTTGCAGTGGGGGAGCAGTGAGCACCAGGACACAAGATGAGGCAGTAAGGCAGCCACTGATTGGGAGATGTCGGGGGCCAATCAGCGTGTACATTAGGCCGTCATGTTGTCATCTAGCCCAGTGTAGGCACATGCCAGTGCTTGTTTCTAATTGAGATTTAACCTCATTGTATGTGGAAAGAGGCAGCTCCCAGACCCTGTTTGCTGTGAGATATTGTGCATTATTCTGTTTGTGCCAAGGGCAAGTTAGGTAGCCTTTCCATAAAATGTCACTATGGACACCGTTTACCCAATGTGTCGTTCTGAATAAAGCAAGTCTGTAGGTAATTTGGTGCATCTCCAGCATGGTAACAAGAAAGAGAAATGATACCTTTAAAGGTGTAAATGATCTGCAAGGGATCTGTGCACAGGCAATGCTTTGCCCCTCACTGCACCGGCTTTGTTCAGTGGTTAAAACGGGAGTTTGTGGTGAGTAGGTGTCCTGACATGACACTGAATGAAGACCTGGGGTACCTGCACTAACCAGAGATTTGTTGTAACTTCTGAGACTATTTGCACACCAGGCACATGAATGGATTGGCTTTTAAGTAGTCTAGATAAAGACCTGGCTTTAAATAATAAACCCCCCCCACCCCAATTCTAGTAACAATGTGTCCAAATATTTTTAACAGAATATTTTTCATGAAGTTTTGTGTTTGTGATCTACAAAATACATCTACAGATGCACAGGTACAGTCACACCTGTGTTTGACAGAATTAGCATTTTCTGCTGATGTGTACATTGAGCTGCTTGCTGCCCATTACTGAGCCTGAGATTGGCACGTAATGCTGGACTGGTTAGTAACCTGACCGATGATTGTGTTACTGAGTGTCATCAGGCTGGCGAGTCGCGGTCACCTCCCTGGCCCTCCAGTGTCACACTCAGATGGGTGGCTGCTGGGGTCAGTGTTTCACAGAGGCTGCATGTCCCAGGTCAGCACAATGACCTTTGAACTGAGCGATGGGCTCCTGGGCACGAGGCAGGTCAAAACAATCCTCCTTTTTTGGGTTTGGGTTTTTTTTTTTTTTTATTCCTGAAAGTGGAATGTAAAGATTAAATACCCAAGTATGTATGAGTGAGTAAACACCATGATATTGTGGTTTGCACAACAGTAAGCATTTGAAGATTTTAGGTACAGGCCTGACTAGATTTTTCCTACTGAATTAAAAATCTATTTGGATTGTTGAACCTTTGGTTTCAGTTCATTTTATTTTGCGTGGGAGCAGCATATTGTGATGGATGGAGATGAGGGTTATTCTGAATGTTACAAGCTACAATTCTGATATTTATGTTCTGAATAATTAGCATATAATTTGATATTTAATTGTGACAAGTTAATTAGAAAACGAACTGGAAAAAAATAACAATGGTAATGCCACTGAAGGCTATGCCTCTACTGGTGCTTTACATTTATGAACATTTGTGAACACTATCAAAACGTTAAGTTCTTGTTTATATGTTATGATGTTTAATCCATGGACTGTGGAATGCATCTGAACAGAGAGGAAATAAAGTCATGTCCATTGCTTGGTTTACTTTTGAAGAACATTCAAAAGATATAACATTTTGTTTTAAAAACATGGATATAATTCAGACTTTAATACAGCTTTACATAATTAGCAGATGCTTTTGTCCAAAGCAACATTCAAGTGAGGCAATTGGCACATTGCAAAAATTCATGCTGTCAAGGAGTCGACTAGGCAGAAATGCGGCTAGGCTTAACTTACAATAAATGCCCAGGTACAAGTGTAAGCAATTTTTGGAGCAGGTTCTACCCAACGGCTACACAAATACTTATTAGGTTTTTACTTTGTTAATAGTTATATAAGACTATACAAGTGCCAGTAACTGTAACATAAACACATTCAAAGAACAATCAGGTTAGTAAAGGAATTCATGGAACAGGTGAGTCTTAAGGTGTTTTCCTGCAGGTGAAGATGGAGTCTGATGACTGGACGTGGTTCAGCAGTTAATTCCACCACTGGGGAACCACACAATCTGGAGTGAAACTTCTCACCTGGCAATGGGAGTTTCAAGTGATGTTAGTTTGGTGACTGAAGGGGGCGAGGTGGGACATAGGTCTTGAGGAGCCTTTTGATGGAGATGGGCGTGTGTCCATTAGTGCACTTGTAAGCCAGCACCAAGGACTTGAACTCCAATAGGAAGCCAGTGAACAGTGACAAGGAGGGTGTGACATGAGAACGCTTTGGCTGACTGAATATCAGACATGCTGCCATGTTTTGAATCATCTGCAGTGGTCTGATAGCACAAGCTGTTAGACCTGCCAGTGGTTATTTTGTGGGATAACAAGTGTCTAGACTAGAAACAGCTGTACATTTAGACAGAAAAAGCCTGATCTTCCTGAGGTTTATACAGGGTAAACCTGCAAGATTGGAAGACCTCATGTTAAGTGCTCAGCAAAAGACAGCTGGTCATCTGACATTAGCCCTTACGTTCCTAACAGACCTTGGAGACGTGGATGGAATCTGCAATCTCTGCAATAATGGTGCTGCGATACTGTAGTTACCGGTCCCAGGGTTTAATCGTTTCGCTTTGTATTATGTAACTACAAATACCTTCCTATAATACTGCGGGCAGGTGGTTCAATGCCGCCACCTTGTGGCGATAAGTCAATATTCTCACTACTGTTATCGGAAAAGGAAATTTGTTGTACTTTAATGTGTAATTATATGGTCTTTTACGGGACCAATAACGTTTAAATGTACATAGCGATTTCTCCTATATTTTCAGGTACAATTCGTATCCGCCTCCTTAAGGATCAAATTCTAGAATCGCCCTCGCTGGACTCCTGACACCCGTGTGTTTTATAATTAATAGTGAATTACAGTTTCTGCAGATGAGTCTAAGTAATAATTGCTAAGGCTGAGAATGTTTTAGTAAGGATTCACTACTCCTGGATTTAGTTCTTGAAAAGGAATACAACGAAATACAAATTAACGTCAATGAATCAAGAAATGCGTGTTATTTTTGACAATGATCGATGGCTGTGAGCAGTATTCTGTAGTAGTATTCTGCAGTAGTCTGTCAGTATTCAGCAGCTAGGCGGCGGTATGCACTTCTCGAGTGGTTATGGTACATGTTGCTAGATCCCATGAAGAAGACTGTGTGTTAATCCGGCCTCTCCCCCGTCCATCTAATCGATGCATCTTAAATTGAGCTCGATTGTACATGCCTGGGTAAGACGATCATATCGCAGCCATGGCTACCCATGTTAGCGAGCTGGAAGTTGCAAAGAAGAATTTGACCGATGCTATAGGTGATAACGTGAAGCAGTAAGTAAAGAAAGGAAACTACAAAATCCTTCCTAAGCGCCTTACGCACAAGTCACATTTAGGCTTTAAATGCAAGTTAAATAACATATATCTGCGTGTCTTGGAAGGCCATAGAGACTTGGGGACTTTTCCATCTTGGTATCTGTGCTGGTATTTGCAGTACTGGCTAAATGTAAAACATGCAAACAGGAGCTATCGCGTTTTGAGCCGCGTGCTCTTTTGGTCGTTTGTAGTATCTTCGTTATTATTACGGTCGCTGGTTCGTTGCTGCCGCTAGCAGAAACTGTATCTCGCCGGTCGTCTAGCGATGAGGTGGGAGCTTTGGGCTGAAATGAATCACTTCCGGGCTCGGTTTGATGTTTTTACAGGTACTGGGCCAACCTCAAATTATGGTTCAAACAGAAGATAAGCAAGGACGAGTTTGATGCTGAGGCTCGCCGGCTTCTGGGTCAAGACAACGGTAAACTGTTTTCATTTGGGGCAGATAAGGGGTGTCATAAACTGGGAAGATAGACTTTCAGTCAGTCCTTTATTTTATGCCGATTTATATGAATGTATGATTTTTTTATATATATTTTTTTTGTGTCAGCTCATGCCATACGTTGAATCGGCAGTAATTCAACGATAATTTCAGTTTAACTGTACAGCCCAACAATGAAGCCAGAAATCAAGAGCGTGGGTGGGCGAGTCCCATAACAATATCGAGACAAAAATCACACTGCAGGCTCAACTACATATTTCTCTTTATCAGTTTGTAAATGACCAGTGACATTACTAAGACCAAATGAACAAAGAGAAAGAATAATATATTTGTCTCTCAACAGCACGTTTCCTCCGATCTAACCAGGCACACACACACCTGTCAGACAGTTGTTTTATCGTACTGCATTGCTAGCTGTAATCACTGAATGGGTTCTGGCCACCTTGGTAGCTACATTCCAGGGGTCTCATTTATCAAACCCTGTATATGTGTATATGTACACATTGTCCTCTTGATCGGTCAGAACTGTGCTCTAAATTTATGTACATGCACAGGCCTGAGATCCTGTCCAATTACCACCCACAAATAACCTTAAATGGTCAATGTAAAAAACATATGCAAATCAAGCTGCCCTGGGTGCAATGTACTGTAAATTAAATAAACCAAGTGGATTTTTAAACAGTTTGAGGTAGAGGCATGAAAAATGTTAAATTAGGTGGCCTAAACATAAGTACCACAATCAAGAAAAAGTGTGTTGGATTACAACACTTTGCTGTTGTAATAAACTCTGTTAGTGCTACAGAATACATTATATCCAAAAGACATGATCGGATCTGAAGAACGAGGGAAAGAAATAATTTGTCGTGCACAGGTCCAGTGTGAAGCATTTGCATACATTAGATGCCAAATTGACAAAGTGCAAATGGTAGACAAGTAACAGTAACCTTCCCTTCTAATCCTCTTGATTCTCATGACTATAGGCTATTTATAGACATCGATCCATGCATGCAATTGTTTGACACTTAATTGACATTCAGTGCAACTGGTAATAATTACAGATATTTCAATTCATAGGAGGTGGCAAGATGTAGTATTTGAAATAGTATATCAATTTCTTCACGGCAAAATACTTTGTCTCTGACTTGTGCCGCTTGGTGATATGAAATGTTGACATTTTGCTGGTCTGCATGCAGTTCCCAGCTTTATAATGGGTGTCACCTTTTCCTGGTTTTACTGAAATGTTTCATAGGCCAGAGTATCCATTAATATACACATTTTCCTGTCAATTTTGTTTGCTAAATCACTGATTTTGCGTGCAGAGTTGCATATGCACATTCTGGGTTTTTTTTTTTTTGTGTGTATGCAACTTTGATGAATGAGGCCACCGGTTTTTAGGACACATCACAAATGGCTGCTTTTTACTGTAAAATTAATGACATTGGTATCCCGTATTATATAGGTTTAAATTCACAGTCATTATTTTTAGTAGATTTTGGGTTGCCTGGGTGATCTTGAGAGTGATTATGCAAACAAAGCTTCAAAACCTACACATGGCAGTGATAATAGGTCTAATTTTCTTAAAGATCTTTGTCTGTCCCTTTTACAGTGCATGTTCACAATGATTTCCTGCTGGCTATTCTTACCCGCTGCCAGATCATAGTTTCTGCACCAGGTAAAAGAAGTTTTGCATCCAAATATGAAAATGCCCAGACTGTTGAAGCCTGACCCATGTGCGTGTCCTGGCAGTCCTTGTGAACTTCACTTCCCATCCAACAGAGGGCCCCGGTTCTTTACCATGGCAAGGTGGCTCTGCATCTAAGCCTGGCAAACCCAACCGAAAGAAGAAATTCCCATCTGTTAGACAGAAATTCGATGTGAGTTTTGTCCTGAATCCCAGCTTTATTAAATGTGTTTATAAGCGAAACTATAAAAATGAACACAAACATCCAACATGGGTATTGTATTACATGCATAGCGGTAAACTGCTTTTTTTCCCCCAGAAATAGCTTTTAACTTAACATGAGCAAACTATAGAGAGCAAAATATGAGCTCCCTGGACACTGGGGGGGTGGGGGATCTGCCCGTGTGACCCTGCTCTCCATCCATGCCTTCAGCACCGGTTCCAGCCCCAGAACCCCCTGAGCGCGGCTCAGCCCTTCAGCCCACGGGAGCTGACCCCAGGCGAGGATGAGGAGCTGCGTCTAAGTGCCCACACCCTACTGCTGCCCACCCGCGGCCAGCTGGAGGCACGGATGATGGTGACGGCCTTCGAGCTCGGCCTGGACAACGTCACCGAGGATGCAGTGGGCATGCTCGTCTGCGCCGTGGAGGTGTGTAGCTAAGGGGCGGTTTTGTTCTGATTGGCGAAATCAGAGGAAAGGGGCACGAGATCAGCGCATTATGGATCTATGTGTTTGGAAGGTTGTAGGTTCAAATCTCGTGGCTGACAGGGCCGTCATCACCGCTGTTCCTTAAAAATTTTATTTGAATAAATATAGTCCCCTTCCTCTTCTCAGTGGCAGCATGCCTGGCTGAGGAATTCCGGCTGGAATCGTCATACCTTAAACTGAGATGTGGTTGCCAAGGAGACGGGGATGACTTGGCAACTAGTCTGGGCAGTGTACTGGTGTATTAAAATGGGAAGAGTGGGGTGGGCTAAAACTCTAAATGTCATACACAGTTGTGGTTGTTTTGAGTGTATTGTTTTTCTGTCTGGTAACTGTTAGGCGCCATGATGCTTGGCGTGTACTG